ATCAGAGAAAAGAAACGGGTCAAGTATTCTACCTGAAGTATGGGTTACACGGGCGAAGAGGCAAACGATTTAGAGGCTGCGTGTTTTCCTTGAGGGGAAGGGAGGAGAAGCAGAACTTATCCACCCTGCGTCAGAAAAAAATCACAAAAGCTTTCCAGTTTTTAGGTATGCCTGCGCACAGCTCTAAAGCTGACAGCCTGACATGATCCCAAGGCGTCCACTAGACGGCACTGCACACTTGTATTAAGAGACGGCTAGGGATTCCTGAGCTAACTTTTCAAGTGGTTCGAAAAGGGACTTCTGCCAGCTAATTATCCCACTCCCCAAATGCTGATAGAATGCCATTAAAATCAATTAGGTACTTTAGTAGTCCTACTCTCTTTAATGATTCTTGACATCTTATTTGTAAAGGGACCCCCAAGGGAATATTTTGTGGAACTGCACACCTGTTGAAACACAACAGCTGCCTCCTATTTGTAATTTCCAGGAAAAAAATTAAAAGCCATTTTCTTCTGACAAACCTTTTCAGCAGGATTGGGGAGGAAAGAGTCTCTGCCTCGGGCGTTTATTTGATTATCCTAAACTCTTAGTGGTATTGATGGTTGTAATCGCCTCGAATGTATATTGAAGTGCGATTATTAAATCAACCGCCTCTTTAAGCTTTGCTGTACAGGGGCTCCAAGACGAATAATTCGTTCGCAGTTTTCCCGCGCGTGGGGTTCCCAGAAGCATTGAACAATTATGCGTCTCCCGCAGACCTTCTGGAAGACGCCCACCCTTCTGAAGGGTGGGGGGGGGACAAGGGCTTTTCTTCCCACCCCAGCATTTTAAAAAACCCTGGGACAAGCGGAGGACTTCTCCGCTGTCGGGCGATCTTAAAATGCTGGCGGGCGGCATTTTAAAATCGCCCCGGGACAGCGGAGGACTTCTCCGCTGTCCGGGGCGATTTAAAAGCCCCTGGGAAGGCAGGCAGGGGGACAAAGACTTTCGCCCCCGCCCGCCTTCAGAAGGTGTTCCCGCCCCCCCCCCCGCTTCGCAGCAGCGCTACGAAGCCCGGCGGCTGGGGCAGGTGTTCCCGCCCCCCACCCGCTTCGCAGCAGCGTACGAAGCGGGGCTGGGGCAGGTGTTCCCGCCCCCCCCACCCCGCTTCGGAGCAGCGTTCCGAAGCGGGGTGGCTGGGGCAGGTGTTCCCGCCCCCCGCCCGGCTTCGCAGCAGCGCTACGAAGCCCGGCGGCTGGGGCAGGTGTTCCCGCCCCCCCACCCCGCTTCGGAGCAGCGTTCCGAAGCGGGGTGGCTGGGGCAGGTGTTCCCGCCCCCGCCCGGCTTCGCAGCAGCGCTACGAAGCCCGGCGGCTGGGGCAGGTGTTCCCGCCCCCCCACCCCGCTTCGGAGCAGCGTTCCGAAGCGGGGTGGCTGGGGCAGGTGTTCCCGCCCCCCGCCCGGCTTCGCAGCAGCGCTACGAAGCCCGGCGGCTGGGGCAGGTGTTCCCGCCCCCCACCCCGCTTCGGAGCAGCGTTCCGAAGCGGGGTGGCTGGGGCAGGTGTTCCCGCCCCCCCGGCTTCGCAGCAGCGCTACGAAGCCCGGCGGCTGGGGCAGGTGTTCCCGCCCCCCCACCCCGCTTCGGAGCACCGGGAGAAGCGATCTTCCCGCAGCCCCTTGCTTCAAAAGAGGTCCGGGGGCAGACCTCTTTTGAAGCAAGGGGCGGTGGGGAGAAGCGATCTCCCCGCCGCCCCTTGCTTCAAAAGAGAAGACCCGCTGTCCCCGGGGCAAGCTTCGTTTTGCGAAGCAAGCCCATAGGGAAATTCGTCTTGCGAGGCAACTCGAAAACGAAAAAACCTTTCGTTTTGCGAGTTTTTCGTCTCGCGAGGCGTTCGTCTTGCGGGGTACCACTGTACCATTTCAGACCACAGGGACACGCAAGATGCTTCACACCGAATTATAGGTGTCAGGGAGAAGGGTTGTTGCTTAGCCTGGAGGTTCGAAATATTGTTCGAACTTTATCTTTGAATTATGTTGGCTACCTTCACCGAACAGAACACCCCACCCGCCACAACGCGTTGCGTTGCTCAAGCCTCGGGGTGGTCAGATTAAGCCTCTTCCAACTCTACGATTCCACAGCGGCTGTTTGGGATTTGCAGCCCCTACCCACCCAAAAGAGTCCCTCGCACGAAAGCACACCGAGGCTAGAGCAACAAACGAATCTGTTTAAAAAAGCGAAATCTGGAGCGAAGCAGCGTCAGCCACCGATCTGCATGCAAAAACGCGCCGGGGTTTGTTCCAGTAGGAAAAGCAACCCAATGTAAACGGCAGCCTGCAAACCGGCCACATTGCAGGCCAGGATTCCTTGCAATCATCTAATCTAAAGCGAAATCTGGAGCGCTGCAGCCTCAGCCACCGATTTGCATGCAAAAACGTGCCGGGGTTTGTTCCAGAAGGAAAAGCAACCCAGTGTAAACGGCAGCCTGCAAACCGGCCACATTGCAGGCCAGGATTCCCAGCAATCATCTATCTAAAAGTCTTATAAACTGGTCCCCTCCCCAACCAGCCTGCCACTTCCTAACTGCGTTCCGTGCGTAAAAGCGCAACGACCCTTTGCAGTCCTTCCTTCCGTTTGCATATTTTCTCCCTCCGTCCCCCCCTTGAGCCGATTTAAGCCGTCTTCATAGGTTCTCCAACACGCCCGTCATCCCTCCGACCCAATCGGAAGAACCACCGCGATGGATCCACCCTGCTTCCGAGCCCAAGGAAAGAAGCGCGTCACTGTGGGCGGAGAGGGTCGTTGGATGGCGGAAGAAGCGGAGCGCCGGGTACGCTGCACGTGTGAAATGTAAGGTGCCCGTGGGGAAACCCTAGGGAGGTCTCAGGCAACCCTGAGCTCGTTGGATCAGATTCTGAGTTCAAGTGGGACTTGTTCCCTAGATAACTGGGCGTAATAGGTTTGCAGCCATAGACATCAGAATCATTTGATATTGTGATGGCTGCTGCCTCCAACGCTCCACTCCTCTGCCAAAGGCATCCGGGTTTTCCAGTGGGTTGCCCCAGTTCTGCCTCCTGAGGCAGCCGCTTCAGTGTGCCTCATGGGAGGGCCGGCCCTGTGATGGAGTCTGGAAGCGATCCGGACTTCTAGCCTGGGAGGGGAGGTGGAAAATGGATATTCAACCTGGAGGAGTGTCTCCATCCCCACCATGCAGCCTGGACACTTGAGGTCCACCTCCAAGAGCCTTCTGGCGGTCCCCTCACTACGAGAAGTGAAGCTACAGGGAATCAGGTGGAGGGCCTCCTTGGTAGTGGCACCCATCCTGTGGAACACCCTCCCATCAGATGTCAAGGAAATAAATAACTATACAACTTTTAGAAGACGTCTGGAGGCAGCCCTGTTCAGGAGGGTTTTCAATAGTGGATGTTTTATTGTATTTTTAATATTTCATTGGGAGCTGCCCAGAGCGGCTGGGGCAACTCAGTCAGATGGGCAGCATATAAATCATAAAATTATTATTATTCAGAGAGCTGCATTTCCTTAGTTTCCACCATGTGCAAAAACGGTGTCATTTTCCACAGATCCAGCTTGTATAAATGGACTGGGCTGGGGCCGGTCTCTTTTTGAATGTAAGAAAGGGAGCCTTAACCCATTTCCACCATAAGCAAAAGTCTTCCTGCTTAATATCAGCAACAGACTTTGGGCTTTCAGCAACACCCTGTGCGATGCCAAAATTTGGTGCCCCATGCCCTCACTTTCTCTTCTACATTATTGTTGCGGTGCTCTCCCCCCCCCCCCCCGGCTTGGTACCCAGTGCGGGTGAACCATTCACGCTCCCCTAAATCTGCCTCTGTTAATCTAGTGTGCAGAGTTCCCCAAACGTGGGCCTCTAGCTGTCTTTTGGACTATAACTCCCATCATCCCTAGATAGCAGGATCAGTGATCAGGGATGATGGGAATTGTAGTCCAAAAACAGCCGGAGGCCCATGTTGTGGCATGAGTGCCTCTTTCATCCCGTCCTTCTAGTTTAAATTTATCTTGCGTTAGTTGGCGAACTTGCACTGGCTTTACTTCCCCTCAGAAGTTGGGTGATACTGCTTACTTGGCCTCCCCGACACCCCTTAACGGAGGCAGGAGGGGAAGAAGTGGGGCTGAGGCAGCAGCGAGGTCACTGCAGTTCAGGTGCCCCTTTTATTTTATTTTGTTTTTTGTTTTTTTAAATAATATTTTATTAGAGTTTCAAATAATACAAAAAACAAAAAGAACAAGAACAAGAAAAAAAAGGATAAAAAAGAATTCATCCTTTACAATCCCATTTTCAGTCACTTTTTTTCCGCGACTTTCCCTTGCCTCCCCTTCTTGTATTCCATGTCCAAATATTTATCCAACAACTTCTTATCCCTAAATTCTTAACCTTAATTTGTTATTATATTTGTTATATTATATTTTTAACCTTAATTTGTTATCATATTTAATTCAATTTATATATCAACTTTTAACTTATATGCCTCAATCCTTTACATTTGAGAACTTTTTCTAAGGTCGACCCAGTTTCCCTTCCACGAATTCCCCATTCTTATACTAATAACAACACAGAATTAAAAACAGAGTAAAAAGAATCAAACACCCTTTGGATTTCCAAACCCCACCTTCCCTTCCCCGGTTTCGATCCCATCAGATGCCCCTTTTGGTAACCCATCTCCCCATCCCACTGCGGGAAGCATTGTGACTCTTGAGTACCAGTTGCTGTGATTCCCAGGTGTGGAGAGCGCTGCGCTGCTCAGGTCTTGCTTGTGTGCTTCCTACAGGAATCTGTTTGGCCACTGTGAGAACAGGAATGCTAGACTACATGGGCCTCTGGCTTGATCCTGAAGCTTTCCCCCCTCCTTTCCCTTCAGATCTCATGATCCTGGCTGGTTTTGAGGCGCGATTTTCATCCTTCGAAAAAGCAACTGCTGATCGCACCGAAGAAGGAGTGCGAGTGGCCTTGGAATAGCACGGACTTGCAGCAGATGTCGAGCCAGATACCACAAAAGGCAGAGGAGATGAAGCTGTATGACAAAGAGGAGCTCAACAGAAAGGTGAATGGGAAAGGCATAACCTTAACAGAGTTAACAGATGGTGCATCCAACACCTTGGTTTATTATGGAATTGGTCTGTTCATGCATGCAAGTGGGGTTTGGGGATGTGGGATTTGTATGGACAGATCGTGAAGCTGAGGCTCCAATACTTTGGCCACCTCATGAGAAGGGAAGACTCCCTGGAGAAGACACTGATGCTGGGAAAGATGGAGGGCACAAGGAGAAGGGGGCGACAGAGAATGAGATGGTTGGATAGTGTTTTCGAGGTTACCAGCATGAGTTTGACCAAACTGCGGGAGGTAGTGGAGGACAGAGGTGCCTGGCGTGCTCTGGTCCATGGGGTCACGAAGAGTCGGACACGACTAAACAACAACATCTATCTATCTATCTATCTATCTATCTATCTATTATTTATTTGCAGCATCCACCTGATATTGTCCTCACCAAAAGGTGGTTTTCCCCACTTAATCAGGATTTAGTATTTCTGTTGTTGTTTTGTTTTTTTGCTGCTGTTTTGTAACTTGCTGGGATTTCTGTGCAAATGGTAAACTCAGATTAAATGGGGAAATAATGAGGGACGCGGGTGGCGCTGTGGGTAAAAGCCTCAGCGCCTAGGACTTGCCGATCGAAAGGTTGGCGGTTCGAATCCCCGCAGCGGGGTGCGCTCCCGTCGCTCGGTCCCAGCGCCTGCCAACCTAGCAGTTCGAAAGCACCCCCGGGTGCAAGTAGATAAATAGGGACTGCTTACTAGCGGGAAGGTAAACGGCGTTCCGTGTGCTGCGCTGGCTCACCAGATGCAGCTTGTCACGCTGGCCACGTGACCTGGAAGTGTCTGCGGACAGCGCTGGCTCTCGGCCTATAGAGTGAGATGAGCGCACAACCCTAGAGTGGCAAGACTGGCCCATACGGGCAGGGGTACCTTTACCTTTACCCTTAATGAGTGGCAGCGTTTTCATGAAGACAGCGTTGTGTGGTTGTTGCATAAAACTTGCATGCAGCTTCATTTCATGCCTTCTGTAACAACCATGTTCTTTATAAATATATCGTGGCAATTTTCCATTGTGAGGTGGGCAGCTGCAACGGTCAGCTACCTCCGCTTGAATGAGTATGGCTTGATATAGCATATTGGTGCAATATTTGTGCTCTGCTGTTTCTCTACACTTGGTTGATATTATATTGTTAGTGGAAAACAATAACAGTTCTTTTTACAAAATAAAACTTGCATGCATGAGCAGTGTTCGAAACTCCCATTGTTCTGGCCGCATTTTGCGACAGGGAAGTTCATTAGCATCAGCAGTTTCTGAGCTGTGGGCGCAGTATTGCGCCTAAGATTTCAGATTAAAACTGCACAGTGGAAGAAAAGGAAGACGTTTTTCTGCCTCCTCACTTCCAGCTACTGTCTGTTGACTGGAGAAGAGACCCTCTTAAGAATATTAGGGGGGTGGGCAGGAGAAGGACTAGACCATGTGAAAAATGAACATAATATTTTAACCGCAGTTCATTCATTTTCAGGTTTGTAAGTGCACCTAGACATTCCGTTGTTGCGCCCATAACCTAGGTTTAAGGTGCCATTTAGCTCCTAGCTTTCATATCTCAGTTTCTAATGCTGTTCATGAGCAACACCAAGTCCATGGGAAACTGCCGCACAGAGGCGCCCTAAATTGTTGCTGTGTTTGCATTGTTTCTGGTGGAAGAATCTTGAGCAAGCGTTAAGCTCTGCTGTCAAGCGAGAGATAAAAGAACTTGCTGTGACATTTTAACATTGTGATGTCAACAGTTCGTTATCTTACAACTGAATCCCTAAACACACTTATTAGAAGGAAAGCTCTATTGTACACAGTGGGATTTACTTCTGAGGAAACATGCACTTGTGCCAGCCTGTTGATGCAACAACTATGTCTTGCAAATCATGAGAGTCTAATTAATGGAGTTGGTAATTCTAAAGGCATAGCTGCTGCCTTCAACACAGAAACACACATCAGTAAAGCAGAATTTCTATTACTGTGCATTTGCAGAAGGTGCAACCACGTTGCTTCTTCCCATTAATGCTGTAAGGAAACTCAAAGTGTGCCTTCAAGGCCACTCACATGCAACTACCTGACATTCAGAAGACATCTTAAGGCAGCCCTGTTCAGGGAAGTTTTAAATGTGTGATATTTTAGTGTATTTTTTGTTTCTATGGAAGCCGCCCAGAGTGGCTGGGGAAACCCAGCCAGATGGGCGGGGTACAAATAATAAAATTATTATTATTATTATTATTATTATTATTATTATGTGCTCCTGTAATGTCCAGGTGGATGGGTGGTATTGAATTTAGTAGCAGAACATTTGCATTTTCTCAGTTCCTTTTCCCTTTTGTTGCAGATTAAAGAGCAAAAAGTTGTAGTTGATGAAGTTTCCAACTTGAAGAAGAACCGGGTAATTCCTTTTGCTAAATTATAACTAACTGTATATGAAGAAACCAGGGAGCTTTGAAAATGTGGTGTCCAGATTTGCGCATAACTGCAGCAGTGCACAGAGTAAACTGAGTTGTGATAGCTTTCGTACCTTCCACTTTTGTTCTGAAAGATATCTGCAATGTATTAGGTACATGCAAAGCAGCAACTACTTCATGGGTCCCTAGAAATGTCGAAAACAGGAAATTTAATCACACATGCATCCTTTGTGCCTGCTGAATGAGTGGGATCCTAATCAATGAAAACCATGACACGCTACTCTTGTGTCAAAGCTTTGTAAAAAAAAATTAAGTTAAACCTGCTTATAGACTTTTATAATCTAGTAAGATACACCCCCTCCCTGAGAAATGGTAGAGAAATAAGGTGATTTCTGATTTAAAAAAAAAATCAATTGTAATTTAAGACCAAAATTCAAAAACAATAACAAAAACCTCAGAAATAAGAACACTTATTTTTTCCCAGTGTAGTTAAACCTACTTGTTTTCTTCTTGTTTTGCAGAAAGTTTACAGGCAGCAGCCCAACAGCAACATTTTTTTTCTAGCAGACAGAACCCAAACACTGTCCGAATGCAAAAGTATGTTCCTTGGCTCTCTTAATTTTTTATTTGTGATTGGATGTAGAGAAGTTGCGTGATGTTACATAGTACGGATTTTACATGGTATTGCACTTGTACAGGTAGCGTTCCTTTATATATGCCCAATTATGTCCTTAATACAAGTAATCATCATCATCATTAGAATGTAGGCAACCATCCAGAAATATTTATGATGATTAGTGCTACAGGGCCTGTGTTTCATGAACCAGTTAGGAATTTTTGGTCCTGGGACCTTTATAAAGTGTGTCGTGTGATGGTGGGAAGCATATCACTAGTCTGAAAATAGCCATGGATAGATAGATCAGAAAGCTCAGGTTTACTGAGGATGTATGTTTACGGGGTTTCTGATATTAAGAAGGAAGAAGAGTGAAATATTCTTCATATGTGGTTGAGATTAAGGTTAAATCAATTAGAATGATGCTTAAATATAGATTTAAGAAGCCAGCTTACCTCAACAAAATACAAAGGGCGAATTGATGGATGGGTTTCGTAATAAAATGTCAATTCTCATATAAAAGAAGCTACTGTCTTCATACCAGTTTTTAGCATGGGGATGTGATCATAAATCGTTTGAAAGGAGTTCATTACTGTAATACAAAAATGTCAGTATTTGGAAAATAGCAGGCTCAGATATTGCTGTTGCTAAACTTTACAGAAATGAAATTAAATCTGGTGGGGGAAAAATATGCTATGAAGTTATGTGATACAAGTTCCTGTTTTCCTTTCCTCTTTTTTTTTATTTTATTCATACCTTCACCATGTGTTCAAAAGGGTTCTGTAACCCACAGCTCTGAATTTTCAGGCTCTGGTACAGATGCCCATGAGAATACTAGCAGAATGAGTCTTCTGTTGCGACTGTTGTGTTTCCTTCCCTGCTGTTAGCTGGGACATAGATTACATATTGGCACCCCCCTTTCCCTGCTCCTGCCCAGTCCATTTGATTGGAGGAGTTGTTCTCCCTACTTGTTATTGCAGATTTCTGGATCGTGGCCACAGTTGAAAGTGTGCATATTAAATTTGGCAGTAATTGGACTTCTAGAGCATGCAGTTATGGACTGCTTAGAATACTTTATAACACTTTTATTTTGCAGTTTTTTGCTGATGTGCTAAATACAGGTTTCCTCTCTTTTTTACAGACACATTAGATGAACTGAAGAAGGCACATCAGGAAATGGAGAATTTGGAGAAAGTCAAAATCAAGAAATAAGCCTCAAACAGGCATTTACGATGTGTGGAATTTGCTGTGTGGTCAGCTTGTCTGTACGTCCCCCTGACGGCTGTTTCTTGAAAGAGGATATTTTATGTAATCTTAGGAGAAGAGGACCCAATAGTAGTCAACAACTGATAAAGACTGTACCCCAGCTTCCATACCACTGCTTATTTTCTGGCCACGTGCTTCATTTAAGGGGACAGTTGACTCCACAGCCTGTGGAAGATCCTACGACTGGCAATGTGTTTCTTTGGAATGGAGAAATCTTCAGCGGTGTTCCTGTAACGGCTGAAGAGAACGACACTCAAATTATTTTTCGGCAACTTTGCACGTGCCGCTGTGAATTGGACGTTTTGTCAGTGTTATCTTCCATTCAGGGTCCATGGTCTTTTGTTTTTTATCAGGCGTCGGAGCATTGCTTGTGGTTCGGCAGAGACTTCTTTGGCCGCCGCAGTCTGCTGTGGCAGTTCAATAAAGAGGCAGACAAAGTTCTCGTTCTGTCTTCCGTAAGTGCCGTCTCTGGTAATCCGTGGCAGGAAGTTCCGGCATCAGGAATCTTCAGATTGGATCTCAAGGCCTGCGCTGTATCCGAAGCGGTGACTTTAACGCTGTATCCTTGGAAATACCCTTCCAGACAGAATGCTACCGAGAAAGCCGTCCTTGGTGACTTAAATATCGCTTCCAAATATTCCCCAAGTTACGTGTCTCTTGTGGTGAATGAATCACACACGTTGGTAGCGCCTGTCATTCCGTTAAATAAGGAGACCCTTAACACACAGGAGGAGTCCCGGTTATTTGATTTTACCAACAATGTAGCAGATGTGGAAGTTCTGCAGATGTTTCTTGCAGAACACCATAAGAAGGAACTCGTTTGCCAGTTTATTGACGTGTTGAGTAGAGCAGTCGAGAGACGAGTTTTATGTCTGGCTAGAGAGGCCGAAATGTCAAGAGCAGCTCCGAGGAAACCCCATGTTGCGGTGCTTTTTTCTGGGGGCATTGATTCCATTCTCATAGCAGCCCTTGCTGACAGGCACGTTCCTTCAGAAGAACCCATTGATCTTCTCAATGTGGCCTTCAAGGTAACAGACCAAGGAAGGCAAAGCAGTTCCACCAAGAAACAGAGCAAGGAACAAAAACAGTCGCCCCCTAGTCAGGGATGCTTCGATGGCACCGGTATTGTGAAATGTGGCTCTTCGTCATCTTTTAACGTGCCTGACAGAATTACTGGCAAGGCAGGGCTGGAAGAACTGAAAACCATCAGTCCTTCCAGATCGTGGAATTTCGTGGAAATCAACATTACGCTTGAGGAGTTAAAAGCAATGAGACAGCAACACATAAGTCATTTAGTTTATCCCTTGGGCACTGTTCTGGATGATAGCATCGGTTGTGCTGTGTGGTTTGCTTCCAGAGGAGAAGGCCTGATTACCAGTCAGGGAGATATAAGGCCATATAAAAGCGTTGCGAAGGTATAAAGCTAGCTATTGATTTATGACCAACGACTCTCTCACACACATCTGTTTTTACTCCATAGTTGGTATTGCAATCCTAAGCCTACAAGGGAGTGAGCCCTGCTTATACTGCAGGCATAACTTTGCAGTTCCTTTTTATTTTATTAGCTCTTTTGCCACACATGTAAAATTGAATGTGGACAAGTTAGATGCGTGTAAGTAAGTTACGGGCTTACTGTCACTGATAGAAACTGAGATACGAAAGTTAGGAGCTAAGTGCCACCTGAAACCTAAGTTATGGGTACAACAACGGAATGTCTAGGCATGCTTTTTTATAACAAGAATACAAGCTGAAAATGAATGAACTGCAGTTAAAATATGTTCATTTTTCACATGGTTGAGTCCTTCTCCTGCCCACCCCACTAATATTCTTAAGAGGGTCTCTTCTCCAGTCAGCAGAGAGTAGCTAGAAGTGGGGAGGCAGAAAAAGGTCCTCCTTTCCTTCCACTGCAGTTTTAATCTGAAATCTTAGGTGCAGTACTGTGCCCAGAGCTCAGAATCTGCTTGCACTAATGAAATTCCCAGTTGTGAAGTGCACCTAGAACAATGGAAGTTTTGAACACCGCTTACTGTATTCTTTTTGTAACGATGATGGCTCTATGATTTAAATGGGATGGAAATCTGGCACAGTCGTAATAGTCATCTGCATATTTCCAGCTGAATAAAATGCTGTTCTTCTCCTGTCTAAATAGATTGCCAGTTGTTCATTGGAACAGAACTGAACCTTATAAAACTGTTTATTTAAATCTAAATAGAGTTTAATTTGGATGTAGCTATAATTAGATTTACCAAAGTAAATGCAAAATATTGCGGAGTAAAAGTGTTTTAGGGTACAGCTGGTTGAGTAAATAAATACTAAGACTGCAAGTTGTGCTCTGTTGCAGATTGTACTTACTGGAATTGGAGCAGATGAGCAGCTTGCCGGCTATTCTAGGCACCGGGCTTGCTTTGAAAAACATGGTTTGGAGGGATTGAATGAAGAACTGGAAATGGAACTGGGGCGAATTTCATCTAGGAACCTTGGCCGAGATGATAGAGTTATTGGGGATCATGGCAAAGAAGCTAGGTAAGCTGTTTGGAGGGGGAAGTTATTGGGCTAATTCTTTTAAAATCATCATAACTGAGGATATTTTTTTAGCATCATTACTTCATTCAGGTGCAGCAAGTTGGAGTGATGATGTTGATGTTGATTTATTAAATTTCTATACTCCCCTTCATCCGAGGATCACAAGGTGGTTTTTAATATAAAAAGACAAAAAATACATACCATAATAACAAACTAAATCAATTCCCCACCCCCATCAGTTTAAAAGGCCATAGATTGTTTAATTAGCCAAAGGTCTGAGAGAAGAGGAATGTTTTTGCCTGGCACCTAAATACATGCAGAAACTTGTGGCGCTGTGATCTAAACCACTGAGCTTCTTGGGCTTGGCTTGCCAGTTGGAAGGTTGGCGATTTGAATCCCCGCGACGGAGTGAGCTCCCGTTGCTCTGTCCCAGCTCCTGCCAACCTAACAGTTTGAAAGCACACCAGTGCAAGTAGATAAATGGGTACTGCTGCAGCGGGAAGGTAAACGGCGTTTCTGTGCACTCTGGTTTCCATCACAGTGTCCTGTTGCGCCAGAAGTGGTTTAGTCCTGTTGGCCACATGACCCGGAAAGCTGTCTGCGGACAAACGCTGGCTCCCTCGGCCTGAAAGCGAGATGAGCGCCGCAACCCCATAGTCAAGTTTGACTGGACTTTTACCTTTACTAACTACAGTCATACCTCGGGTTACAGACACTTCAGGTTGCGTTTTTTCAGGTTGCGAACCGCCGAACCCCGGAAGTACTGGAACGGGTTACTTCCAGGTTTTGGTGGTCGCACATGCACAGACGCGCTGAATTGCAGCTCGCGCATGCGCAGATGCGCCACTGCGGGTTGCGAACATGCATCCCGCATGGATCACTTTTGCAACCCAAGCGTCCACTGTACAGTGGTAGCTCGGGCTATACGCTTCAGGTTACAGACGCTTCAGGTTACAGACTCCGCTAAGCCAGAAATAGTACCTCGGGTTAAGAACTTTGCTTCAGGATGAGAACAAAAACTGCGTAGCGGCGGCGCGGCAGCAGTGGGGGGCCCCATTAGCTAAAGTGGTGTCTCAGGTTAAGAACAGTTTCAGGTTAAGAACGGACCTCCAGAACAATATAAGTATAAGTAACCAGAGGTACCACTGTATATGCAAGGAGGGCACCGGCTGAACCTCCTTCCGGAGAGCATTCCACAGACAGGGAGCCACCACAGAAAAAGCCTGTTCTCATGTTGCCATCTTCCAGACCTATTGTGGAGGAGGCACACGAAGATTGCAGGGTTCAAGATTGGTTCATATGGGGAGAGGTATCATGTTCCTGAGCCGTTTAAGGCTTTATAGGTCAAAACCAGCACACTTAATTGAACCCAGAAACTTATTGGCAGCCTGTTCAGACCAGGATCGGTGTAACCATCTTGCCCTGTTGAGCAACCTGCTGCAGAATTCGGCACTAGCTGAAGTTTCCGATCCATCTTCAGAGGCAGCACCACGTATAATGTGTTGCAGTAATCTATCCTAGAGTTTCCCAGAGCATGGGTGACAAGTTAGGCTATCCCAGATAAGGGCACAGCTGGGCCACTAGCCGAAGCTGATGGAAGGTGCTGTATGTCATCGAGGCCACCTGAGCCTCAAGCAACGGAATCCAGACGTACCCCCCAAACTGCGTGCCCTCTCCTTCAGGTGGCGTGTAACCCCATCAAGAGCAGGCAACCTCCCACTCACAGTGCCTCTGTCTTATCTGGATTGACCTTCAGTTTACGCATCTCAGAAGGATGTGCCTCTCCACAGTTTCCCACAGTATGCTTGTCTAGCTCTGAGCTGCTTGGGTTTTTTTATATGTGTATGAATACGCGGGTGGCGCTGAAGTCTAAACCACTGAGCCTCTTGGGCTTGCCGATCAGAAGGTCGGTGGTTCGAATCCCCGCAACAGGGTGAGCTCCCGTTGCTCAGTCCCAGATCCTGCCAACCTAGCAGTTCAAAAGCACGCCAAAAAGTGCAAGTAGATAAATAGGTACCACTTTGGTGGGAAGGTAAACGGCATTTCCGTGCGCTGCTCTGGTTTCGGTGTTCCATTGCACCAGAAGCAGCTTAGTCATGCTAGCCACATGACCCGGAAAAACTGCGGACAAACGCCAGCTCCCTCGGCCTGTAAAGCGAGATGAGCGCCGCAACCCCAGAATCCTCCGCGACTGGACTTAACTGTCAGGGGTCCTTTACCTTTATGAATAATTCACACATTTGGATACTTATAGGAAACTATTAATTAGCTCTGATTGTAACCGCCAAATAAGTCGATTCAAGGATTTTTCCAAAAATATTCTTCGCAATTTATTTTTGAATTCTCTTGAAAAATAAGTTTTGCTTGGTTTTCTTTTCTTTTTGTTTTAGGTTTCCGTTTCTTGACGAAGAAGTAGTATCTTTTCTCAATTCTCTTCCCATCTGGGAGAAAGCAAACTTGACTCTACGTCGAGGCATCGGGGAGAAATTGCTTCTCCGCCTGGCAGCGGCTCAGCTTGGCTTGACAGCCTCGTCGGTCCTGCCAAAGAGGGCCATGCAGTTTGGTTCCAGGATTGCAAAAATGGAAAACAGCAGCGAAAAGGCATCTGACAAATGCACAAGACTCCAGTCACTTCCCGTCGAGTAGCTGCGTACAGGATTCTGGGAAGCCTGTTACGAACTCAATCACACGGTAGTCACAATCCAGGAAATGCCAGATACAGCCAGTGTGCTTAATTGGGAGTCAGCCCCAGTGGGATCAGCACTGGGACTTACTTTTGAGTTAATGTGTGCAGGATCAGTGCTAGAGATCCCACTGAGAACAAATGTATGGAGTCTCACAACCCACGATATTCTGTTGGCTTCAGTGGAACGTTGTCATGACTAGCTAGCTAGATGTTCCCTGGTTTCTGAATGATGTTTGTGTGTTGTGAACATGAAAGAAAATAAAGGGTTTTTTTAAAAGTCTCGGACTCTGTATATTCGTTAATGTAGTCGTACATCTTAGCCAAGGGCATCAAAGCAGACACTCAAGTAGATTCCACAAAGGGAACCAGCAAGTAGTTGAAAGGTTATAGAGCTGCTCGGTGTGCAAACATTTTAAGCTGTACCCTTGTAAATAAAGTGTTACACAATGCCAGTGTATTAGCTCCCAAGTATCTCTCCATAAGGAGCCATTGGCCAATGCTGGCTCTATATACTTGTACAGTGGTACCTCAGGTTACATATGCTTCAGGTTACATACACTTCAGGTTACGGACTCTGCTAACCCAGAAATAGTGCTTCAGGTTAAGAACTTTGCTTCAGGATGAGAACAGAAATCGTGCTCCGGCGGCGCGTTGGCAGCAGGAGGCCCCATTAGCTAAAGTGGTGCTTCAGGTTAAGAACAGTTTCAGGTTAAGAACGGACCTCCAGAACGAATTAAGTACTTAACCCGAGGTACCACTGTACAGTTATTCCCAGTGCACATTTTTTGTTCCTGCAGAATATGTCTTTCACATAGAGCAGAGGTTTTTAACCTTTTTGAGTCCACATCTCCCTTGACCAGCTGGCAGCCTCTCACCCTTTTTCAAACACCCTTGTGGAGTGTTCCCTCGGCCTCCTCTCCCCTCTCCTTAGGAGTCCTCCAGGCAGTTGCTGCTGCTGTCCCTGGTCTCTGAGCTGCCCCTTCTCCAAAGAGGTGCCTCCCAAAGTCACCATTTGCCTGCGGAGCTTGTAGCCAGGGCTGCTGCAACAAACAGCTGTGCAAGCCTTTGGGAGGCAGAGATGCAAGAGGGCAGCCACACAGATGCTACGAGCCCAGAGGTGGAAAGAAGAGGAAAGTCCCTAGCAGATAAGAATGGTAAACTAAGCTGTTGGACTATGCCGAAATGGCAAAACTGACGGGAACACTCAGGAACCAAGAAGGCAAAAGTTTTAAGAAATAATGGAAAAGATTTATAATGTAAGAGACCACTGTAAGCAAATGAAAACTTTAGGATTTTAACAACGCTGGTAACAAATACATTGGATAACATGGAGAGACTTAAAATACAGATGAAGAAATAAGATGCAGTTGAAAAATATGACAATAGTGTGTATTTGATATTGTTATAATACACTTGTAAAATCAAATAAAAATTACTTATGAAAACCACTGGCATAAATACTTCTGTGAGTGTAGAAGCAGCATGTACCTGTGTGAAGAAGGCTATAGAGCAGGTGTGCTGAATTTTCCAATAGGACCAAAATTGCTTAGCATCTTTGCTAAAGTATACTGCCCGTAAATTTTGGCAGCTGCCCTCAGGGGCGCTAGAGGAGAAGAGTCTGATGATGGACAGTTCCATCTTCTTTCTCTTCTCAAGGACATCATAGCTGCTTGCTGTCTTGCTCCCACCAGTTTCCTTTGCATAAGCGAGGGGAAGGATGGTGTGGTGGTCCGAGATCGGCGTGCATTTTTATTGGGTAGATCCATACTGCAGCTGCACCTGAAATAAAGATATGGTACAGTTGCTGGCAGAGATGTTGATGTAAATGACAACAAAACTGGTTCAGACGCCAAGAAAACCTCACTAGAATGAATATATCAGCAAAGGTTTGCTGCAGTCATCGTATTGTTCAATGTGGATAATAAATTACTGTTGCAACAGTGATCAGATGCCAGGTTGTTTGACCCACACTTATACCTAAACTCCCCACTTGAGCTGGAAGAAAATTATGCAACTGATGTTTGAAGAGCAGCACAGAGGCAACTGAAAGCAGAGTGAAGAATTCCACTGTAGTAACTAATTCCAGAAGTAGCCTACTAGCTAACCCAAATTCACTAAAAAGCTGAGTCCAGTGTGGGCCTTGGGGGAAAACACGAAACAGATCACAACCTTTTTTGTGCAGATGAATGTAATCTTGAATTCAAGAATTAAAAGCTACTGTTCTGCTCTGGTCAGACCTCACCTGGCGTACTGTGTCCAGTTCTGGGCACCACAGTTCAAGAAGGACACTGACAAACTGGAACATGTCCAGAGGAGGGCAACCAAAATGGTCAAAGGCCTGGAAACGATGCCTTATGAGGAACGGCTAAGGGAGCTGGGCATGTTTAGCCTGGAGTAGAGGAGGTTAAGGGGTGATATGATAGCCATGTTCAAATATATAAAAGGATGTCATCTAGAGGAGGGAGAAAGGTTGTTTTCTGCTGCTCCAGAGAAGCGGACACGGAGCAATGGATCCAAACTACAAGAAAGAAGATTCCACCTAAACATTAGGAAGAACTTCCTGACAGTAAGAGCTGTTCGACAGTGGAATTTGCTGCCAAGGAGTGTGGTGGAGTCTCCTTCTTTGGAGGTCTTTAAGCAGAGGCTTGACAACCATATGTCAGGAGTGCTCTGATGGTGTTCCCTGCTTGGCAGGGGGTTGGACTCGAGGGCCCTTGTGGTCTCTTCCAACTCTATGATTCTATGTTAACATGCCACGAGAATAATCTCTTTTGGAGGAGATGGGATCCTGAAATAAAATTAAGATTACTCCTGATAGCAGAGACATTTCTCTTTCAATAGTGGAATGGTTGTAAGTAATCTGAAGAGATTTGTTAATCGTAATAAAATTAATGGTTGTAAAACTCATGGAACACGCTGACCCGACGTTCTTAATATTTTTAAATGGCAGATCTGGAGCTATTTTGTAGAATGGATTGCAACACAGGAAGTGATAAAGGAAGAAATGCCTTGAGGATGAAGGAAATTTGCTTTTTTGATTAGCATGAGCGGGATGGCTCCTTGCCGAAAGCTCGGGTCTCCTCTGATTTTCATTTCTTAGGAGTCATTTTTCAGCTTGCTAACAACAGCTGTGCATTTGTTGGCAGAACCACAAAGAATTTGAAGTATATATACTGACTAGGCCAGGCATAGGCAAACTCGGCCCTCCAGATGTTTTGAGACTACAATTCCCATCTTCCCTGACCACTGGTCCTGTTAGCTAGGGGTGGTGGGAGTTGTAGACCCAAAACATCTGGAGGGCAGAGTTTGCCTATGCCTGGACTAGGCTGCCTAGATTAGGCCATGGAAAATTCTAGTGTGGCCACGAATATCCCTCTTTATTTGGAAAGGGCGAGCTGTTTGGTGTGAAATAGGGAAGAGGGCAGCCTTTCAGAGTCAGAAATCCCATTGGATGCAGGCAGACGAGCACAGTGAAGTTCCTAGCATACTTATTTCATACTGAACTGTAGAAGGGACACTCAGAAACAGCACATAATACAATTGACATTGTCTGGGTCCACTGAAGAGCTGTCTGCCCCCACAGAAAAGGTGGAAATTGCCCAGTAAAAATAGTCTTTTTACTGACTCCATCCCACAGGCTCCCTCACTGTTGACTTCCCTCATTGTTCTTTGGTTTCCATGGCTACCACATCTAGTCAGCAGCCTCTCTTCCCACATTGTCTACTGCACAACAGCTGAGGGAAACAAAAGTGGGTGCTCCCTAGACCTGGCTCAAGAGACAAGGCCTCACAGTTGCTGGTTGGTACCTGCGCAGGCTTGTCTTTTGAATGCACCGCCTGGATTTGGAAAAGCATTTTTCTGGTGATGCTTCTATTTTTCCTTCTGAGATTTCGGCAATATTGCACTTTCTTTCTTAACTACGGCAATCTTCTGTTTCTCTTCCCCTCTACACCCACCTCCCGCAATCCAGAAAACATACAGTTTAGAATGGGTGTTCAAGATCGCAGGTGGTTTTTCCCCTTGAGTCTTTTCAGTACCTTCATGTTCCAGTGGGTAGTTTAAAAAGAAAAAAACAGTAACCAAGTAGACTTTTCCTTTTACCTTACTTTTCAGGTCATGCTTAAATAGAAATGGTGATGATGTCATAAGGGCCCAGTTCAAAATGGTGCCAGGGCTAGGATTGTCATAGTTGTTGAGGTGTTTTTTGGAGCAGGGGGGCAAAGTTGTCAAGCTTTTTAAAGTTTTGCCCCAAGTTGTTGAGACATTTTTGAGGTATTTTTAAGAAAGTTCGCCAAAATCTACGATACCAACATGGCAGTTGCCTTACCTCCAGATTTCCCATGACATTTTCAGTGATTTCCGCCCGGACGCAGCTTCTGACGGCCAAATCCCAGCTATCTGGACGTATGACAACCCTAGTCAGGGCAGGATATCTAAGGGGACTTTCTCGTCCCATAAGAAATTGCTCAGTTATTGCAAACTTCTATTATTTATTTACTTATTGCCTGCTATCCACCCTAAGCCCCCAGTGCAGATTACAGCAATCAAAAGGCAATATTAAATATTAAAATTAAAATATTAAAAACAGGTTTGTTTGTTTTTTTTAAAAAAAATTCTACAATCACATAAATAAGGTGGGGCCAAAGCTGGGTAAATAAATGCACCTCTAGAGAGGCATTCTTTAGTCCTATTTGAGTGTCCAGCTTCACCTGGCAGTAATCTCTACATGTACCATTGCACACCACACTGACCCCTCTGCATGCATTGAGGGCATGTCCACCGCAATAATCACAATTTTATTGTTTATATGCCGCCCATCTGGCTGGGTTGCCCCAGCCACTCTGGGCAGCTCCCAACGAAGTATTAAAAGCAGGGCTGTCTTAAGCATATGTGGCGCCGGGGTGCAAAGATCTGCCCGGGGCACCCCCCCCCCCAGGTTGCTCAGTCCCAGGCGTGCAGGAAGGTGGAGCTGGCCTCAGCGTCTCGCAGCCTCGGTCGCCCCCCCAACTCACGGCGCAGAGCCGCCCACAGCAGAAAAGCCCCTTGTGGCGCTCCGACTGACAGACGGGGTCTTCCCCAGACTCAACTCTCGGGCCCCGGACTCTCGGCCTGGCGTCCCTGAGAGCCCGGCGCCCAGGTGCCCCGCACCCCTAGCGCCTTTGGGTAAGCACAATAAAACGTCAACCATTAAAAACCTTCCCTAAATAGGGCTGCCTTCAGATGTCTTCTAAAAGTTGTGTAGTTATCTATCTCCTTGACATCTGATGGGAGGATGTTCCACAGGGTGGGTGCCACTACCAAGAAGGCCCTCTGCCTGGTTTCCTGTAGCTTCACATCTCACAGTGAGGGAACCGCCAGAAGGCCCTCAGAGGTGGACCTCAGTATCCGGGCTGGACGATGGAGGCGAAGACACTCCTTCAGGCATACTGGCCTGAGGCAGTTTAGGGCTTTAAAGGTCAACACCAACACTTTGATTTGTGCTCCGAAATGTGCCTTGTTAAAGGTCAAGCAATATATTACTTAGGCTCTGTGTTTTAGTCCTATCTTCACAGGAATATTTCTGTTCCAACAACCCATAAACCACTTGATTAACTCACGTGCATTACATATTCTCTCTCCCTCTTTTTTTAAAAGTATTTAGGAAACAATAGAACAGAAAAAGAGGCAATATGATGCTGAGACCACTAAAAAAGCAAGCGATTAGGAATGAGCAAGCAGATGAGGCAACTTATTTAGCCCACCTCGCTGCGCAGAGAAACGCAAGTGCCTTCTTTGAGAAGTACGAGCGAAGCGAGCTTCAGGAACTACTGACCACTTCGTTTTGTAGCTGGCTGGCAACCAAAGATAACTTGCGCCAAACGTTGGACCTCCCCACTGGGCTGCTGAGACAAATGAAAAGCATAAATGTCCCAACGGCTATTTTTCTAACACCCGTGGAGCCCGACTTAGAGTTGGATTGCAGAGAAATCCATCAGATCATCAGAGAGTTGTCTGTTGGGATTTACTGTCTGAACCAAATTCCGTCCATCAGTTTGGATGCTAATTACGACCAAAGTACTTCTTGCTCCCTCCCTCCAGCGTACTTTGACACGCGAATCGGACAAATGTTGATCGCAGTGGATTACATGTTGAAAGCCTTGTGGCATGGGGCATACATGCCCAAAGAAAAACGCGTCAGATTCTCTGAACTGTGGCGTTCTAGCATGGATATTGACGCAGACGGCATCCCTCAAACAGAAAGAACTGCCTGTGCAGAGTTCTGTCAAGCTGGTAAGAGAGGGTTGCCATATTTCAGGAGGTAAAAATCCAAAGCCCGGACAAAAAAGTTGCTGCCTAAAGTAGAAAATTGTAGCTACTCATACTAGTTATAAGCCCTGTGGCACAGACGAGGAGCATCCAAATTCTTATCTGCATTGGCAACACCCACCAAAGGGTGCCTTGGAATGCTGCTTGCTAAATTTGGGTGCCTGTATTTAAAACAGAAGTAAATGGGAATTTAATAGTTTCCAAATTTCTCCTTGACGAAAATCAGCACTATTTCTCTAGAAACAGAGGTTCCAGAACTCCCCATGAATGCCTCCCTTGTTTAACGGCAATGGCGCCCACCTGAGAGGTGCCAGAACTGAATTCTGGTGAGTTCCGGCTGAAAAAAAGCCCTGACAAAAATTAAAGTAAGGATGAGTAAGGAGTTCTCTTGACATGCAAGGTTATCCTGTATGATTTTAAAAGCCACTTCTGTGAACTTTTATTTGTGTTAGATTTTTTTACATACTAATTACAGTTACTTCACTTGTGCTCATATATATATACATGTGTGTGTGTGTGTATAGGTAAAGGTAAAGGTACCCCTGCCCGTACGGGCCAGTCTTGACAGACTCTAGGGTTGTGCGCCCATCTCACTCTATAGGCCGGGGGGCAGCGCTGTCCGAAGACACTTCTGGGTCACGTGGCCAGCGTGACAAGCTGCATCTGGCGAGCCAGTGCAGCACACGGAATGCCGTTTACCTTCCCGCCAGTAAGCGGTCCCTATTTATCTACTTGCACCCGGGGGTGCTTTCGAACTGCTAGGTTGGGAGGCGCTGGGACCGAGCAGCGGGAGCGCACCCCACCGCGGGGATTCGAACTGCCGACCTTTCGATCGGCAAGCCCTAGGCACTGAGGCTTTTACCCACAGCGCCACCCGCGTCCCTGTGTGTGTATATACATGTAGGTAAAAAGGTATGCGGGTGGCGCTGTGGTCTAAACCACTGAGTCTCTTGGGCTTGTCGATCAGAAGGTTGGCGGTTCGAATCCCCACAATGGAGTGAGCTCCCATTGCTCTGTCCCAGCTCCTGCCAACCTAGCAGTTCGAAAGCACGTCAGCGCGAGTAGATAAATAGGTACCGCTGTGGCAGGAAGCTAAACGGCGTTTCCGTGCACTCTGGTTTCCATCAGAGTGTTCCGTTGTGCCAGAAGCAGTTTAGTCATGCTGGCCACATAACACGGTAAGCCATCTGTGGACAAACGCCAGCTCCCTTGGTCTGAAAGCGAGATGAGCGCCGCAACCCCATAGTCGCCTTTGACTGGACTTAACTGTCTGGTCCTTATCCATGTAGGACAGGGAATGTCTGTAGTTTAACTGATCTGTTTTTATTTCATATATTTATATATCTTTCTGTGTACATATGTATGATATAGGTCTAATGGATATTTCAAAAGAACCAGATTTCCAAGGAATCTATGAGGAAAACCTGAATGAAGATCCAACGTATGACCCTAACAGTCCAGAGGAAAAGGCATTCTTTATGCAGTTTGCGGACTACATATTTCTTAAGTTGACTTTTGCCACCACAGAGGTTCAGCAGTATGAAAATGTGTTCAAGTTTGATGCAGCATACAACCTTTGTAACGCGGTAAGGATGACTGAGGATACCCTCAGTATGCATGGGTACCAGAGGCTGCAGCAGAGGCTAGCTCTTCAACAAAAACTTGTGAAGAAATACCTAGAAAAAAAGGTTGAGATCCGGAAAAACATAGCATATCTCAAGCTGATGAGTTTTCTTATTCCATTTATTATCAATTTAAAAAGGAAAAATAAAATCCCGAATTTAAGTCGGCTTCTTCAGCCATATTCAGGTAAGACTATGTTCTACCCTTTTGCTGAGAGATTGCTTTTAATCCATTAACACGATATAGGCCATATCTGTAAGAACAATCATACGAGCCCCTTAGGTAAAGGTAAAGGGACCCCCGACCATTAGGTCCAGTCGTGACCGACTCTGGGGTTGCGGAGCTCATCTCACTTTATTGGCCGAGGGAGCCGGTGTACAGCTTCCGGGTCATGTGGCCAGCATGACTAAGCCGCTTCTGGCGAACCAGAGCAACGCACGGAAACGCCGTTTACCTTCCCACCGGAACGGTACCTATTTATCTACTTGCACTATGACGTGCTTTCAGACTGCTAGGTTGGCAGGAGCAGGGACTGAGCAACGGGAGCTCACTCCGTCGCGGGGATTTGAACTGCCGACCTTCTGATCGGCAAGCCCTATGCTCTGTGGTTTAACCCACAGCGCCACCCGCGTCCCTTTACGAGCCCCTTACCAGTTGTCGAAAATGGTACAGTCCTGATTCAGGTTTAACAGCTCAGTGAGAACTAGAACTGCTTTTTTAAAACAAACAAACAAACAAACAAACAAACAAACAAACAAACAAACAACTTTACAACCAGTCCAACCAGCAATGATACATCACACACAATCCACATTAGACAACAGTAGCATAAAGAAAAGTAAGGAGAAATGCAACTAACGCTTAGTAAACAAACAAACAAAAGCCAGGCAATCGACATGACATGCTTGTATACCCTGCAATGGACTAAAACAAATGAAATTTTGTGTTAACAAAAGCATACAAGAGGCAATGCACCTGAAACGTACCCCCCAACATTTCTCTGATAAAAGCAGGGACGTCCTTTTCCATAATAATAATTCTACTATTTATTAACCAGGCAGAGGGCCTTCTCGGTAGTGGCACCTACCCTGTGGAACGCCCTCCCATCAGATGTCAAGGAAATAAGCAACTATCTTACTTTTAAAAGACACCTAAGGCAGCCCTGTTTAGGGAAGTTTTAATGTTTAATGTATTGTGTTTTTAATGTTCAGTTGAGAGCTGCCCAGAGTGGCTGGGAAAACCCAGCCAGATGGGCAGGGTAGAAATAATAAATTATTATACCCCACCCATCTGACAGCCTTGCTCCAGTCACTCTGGGCAGCTTCCAAAGTATATAAAAATATATAAACACATAAAACATTAAAAAAAACTTCCCTATACAGGGCTGCCTTCGGATGGCCCAGGGGCTGGATAACTCCAGATCCTCAAACATTTCTCTGATGACAATAGGGACATCCTAAGGAAAAGCAGGACATTCCAGGATCAGATGAGAAACTGGGACAGTTTTCTGTAAATCGGGGACTGTCCCTTGAAAATAGGGACACTTGGAGGGTCTGCTAAAATTAAGGCACCAGACCCCCTCCAAATGAATGAATAACTGTTGATTGGGGTTCCTTGTGGCAAGAATTAATAAAGGAAATAAAAGGGAACCAGTCACCATGAAATTTGTTCCTAATGAACAAGAACTGGAACTACATCTTAATCCAAAATGTCAATCTTAATGTCAAAAGAGTACACTATGGCTCTATCTCCACCATACATTTAAAGCAATATTATACCACTTCAGATAGCCATGGTTTCCCCCAAAGAATAATCAGAATTGTAGTTTATGAAGGGTTTTGTGAGGAGACCCACGTTCCTCTCATGGAGATACAGAGTGGTTTAACAATCAACTCCTCTTCCCAGGGAACTCTTACATAGCATACTCTTTTGACACCAACCAGTCCTTATTATGTGATGAAACTACGGGAAATCTGCATTTTTGAAAGTGCTGCTTAAAGTTTGGGCATATAATTTTATATTATTAGTAATGTCATTCATTCGTGTCATTCGCTGAGAGCAGTGGCAGCTGCCTTCTCCTCTGTGGTAAAAAGCAGTTCTTCCTTTTTGTAGATGACAAAGTCAAAACGGAACGGGAACTGCCTCCAATTTTGCTCGGACCAGATTTTAAGTGCCAGCATTTTCTATACACCCAGAATCAGTATTTCCATCTCCACGGTGGCATTGAATATGATGTTGGTACTCCTTCAGTTGAAGACCTTTCAGATGAGATTAAGGTACTAAATCGGCATTTTCGAAATAATTTAGCCTGCGATAAGGAAAGATTGTAGGGGTTGGGGATTTACAGCTTCAGGGGATTACATTCCACCTGCTCTGGAAAATAATAATTTGCTCCCACTGAAGGTTCAGCTTTACGGCTTGGGACGCCTCCTTTGTCATGGGAAGCTCATGAAGACTGCATATGCACTATACCTTTTAAAGCTCATTCGAAGCAGAGTCTCCCTCAAAAGAATTCTGGGCACTGTAGATAATGTTAAGATTTTCTGGGAAATATAAATCTGTGACAGGTAAAGCTACAGTGCTCAGAATTCTTTGAGGGAAAGAATCTGCTTCAAATGTGCTTTAAAGATGTAGCATGGACACCACAGAAACTCGTCCTACCACTAGCTGGGTCTGGTTCAGCAGCTACAACCTCTCCAGAAGACAGGCCATCTAACCAGTCATCTATGCCCTGACAACCTCTTTTTCAGATTTCTGTGAAATGTTCCATCTGGGGCTGCCTTTGAAGCTGGTTTGGATGCTTCCCTTGGTACTTTCTTGTTCAGATTCTACCTCAGAAAAATGTCAAAACGGTTCGGCTAGTTGCCAATTCACTTTGGAGCCCTCTTGAAAGTACTAGTGCTCCCTTTTAAAGCCCTAAGTATACCTGAAGGAGCGTCTCCACCACCATCGTTCTGCCCAGACACTGAGGTCCAGCTCCGAGGGCCTTCTGGCAGTTCCCTCACTGCGAGAAGTGAAGTTCCCTCCCTGCGAGAAGCCAAGTTACAGGGAACCAGGCAGAGGGCCTTCTCGGTAGTGGCACCCGCCCTGTGGAATGCCCTCCCATCAGATGTCAAGGAGATAAATAACTATACAACATTTAGAAGATATCTGATGGCTACTCTGTTTAGGGAAGGTTTTTAATGGTTGACATTTTATTGTGCTTTTAATACTTCGTTGGGAGCTGCCCAGAGTGGCTGGGGCAACCCAGTCAGATGGGCGGCATATAAACAATAAAATTACGGTTATTGTGGGGGCCTTCCCTCAATGCATGCAGAGGGGCCAGGGTGGTGTGCAATGGTACATGTAGAAATTACTGCCGGGTAAAGCTGGACACTCAGATAGGACAAAAGAAGAGTGCCTATCTAGAGTTGCATTTCTTTACCCAGGGGTATAAATAATATATTATCATTATCTTTTTTTTAAAAAAAATTATTAGTATTTTCCACACAACAACAACATGAAAGATATCAGAAAATAACAATACACAACACACAAAAATCAACATTTGAAAACTAAAAAAGCAACAACAACAAACACAAAACAAACAAAAAACAAATCCATATCTTATAAGTTAATATTATAAACACTAAAACAACAACCACAAGATATTGACTTCCACCAATCCCACAGCACCTCCTTTATCTCTCATTGTGTCTTCCTGTTTTCCTGTTACTTACTTACCTGGCAGGGGAGACACCTTGATCATATATCATCATCATCATCATCATCATCTAGGATGGGTGAAAGGAGCAGCTTCTCCTATATCAAACAGCCTGTACTTTGAAGTAATCCACTGAGGCCCATTTCTCTGCACCTTCCTTGTTATATTTAGGCATATGGCAAATAGAGAAGGGTCTTTTGTTGTGGTGGCCCCATGATGGAAAACATGCACATCCTCTCCTGCTAGCAACTTTACATTCTTTCAGGCATTAAGCAAAACAAAAACAAAAAGCACCTCTCAGAGATTTGAAGGGACTCTCTAAGCATTTTAAACCTTTTAGAGCTGATTAGCATTTTGTCTGCTAGTTTTTTATGATTATTGTTATTGTTTATTGCAATTAATTGCTTTCAATATCAGCATTGTAAATGCCCCTGGTTTCATTCTCAAGCAAAGGCAGTATAAACATATTTAAAGTGCATACATAATTATTAAATGACACCATGAAAGGTAAATTGTAGGAGGTGATTGTCAGCTTCCTTTTACTCAGAGCAGATCCATTGAAATGAATGGGTCTAACTTAGTCGTGTTCATGAATGCCAGTGAGTCTGAGCAAAATTTAGTTTAATACCACCCTTCAGTTCTGATTTGTTTCAAGAAAATATATTTTACAAGAGAATACATTTATTTTTATCTGTATTATTTTATTTTAAAGAGCATTTACTTTGAAGAAATTCAGCATGTAATCACTTGACGGTAGCAAGAACAGGACTGTTGTAGAACTGTAACCTCATATGTTATGGGTTGGAAGTCAAATAACTTTGGTTGTTTGATTCTATGAAACTAAAAACCTGTTTCCACCATGTGCCCAGACAGGATTTGAACTTGTGTTTCTCTACCCATTGGGTTTTTCAGCTCTTAGCAGATTTTGAGCCTGCATATTTTACTGAAAATTGACAAGATGCTTTAACTACTTAAAGCAGTGCTTGGCCTTGATACAGGAAGTTTTAAAGGCTTTGCAAGCATAAATAGAGTCTGTTGTTTTTAACATTAATTGTAGGCTGCCTATGACGAAATGCATACATGTGCAGCAAATCACCTCGCTCAGCTGTTGGACCCAGATGCACCCTATAGAGAACATTACCCCATACCAATAATGGACTTTCAAGGCAAGAGGTAAAGAGCACGTGAGATGGCTTTCGATTGAGTTTTTGGGGACGTAACACTAGTTAATGGTTGAGAGTCAAAAAGTGGCTCATACATAAGTGCCAGCAAACACTTGTGTACATGCAGCAGATGTTACAGTATGCAATAATAATTGATTAGAAATAAGTTTACTTAAAAGACATACTGACGATTGAGTATGGATGTTTATTATTTATTCATCGAGATTTTTTAATCTGAATGCAGAATTGAGTTTTGCTGCTTTTTAAAAACAAAATCATTAGGATCGACTCTGGGGTTGTGGCACTCATCTTGCTTTATTGGCCAAGGGAGCTGGCGTACAGCTTCCGGGTCATGTGGCCAGCATGACTAAGCATAGCTGTCAACGTTTTCCTTCTTTTAAAGGGAAATTCCCTTATTCCGAATAGGATTTCCCTTAAAAAAAGGGGAAAGTTGACAGCTATGTGACTAAGCCACTTCTGGCGAACCAAAGCAGTGCACGGAAACGCCGTTTACCTTTCCGCCGGAGCAGTACCTATTTATCTACTTGCACTTTGATGTGCTTTCGAACTGCTAGGTTGGCAGGAGCTGGGACCAAGCAACGGGAGCTCACCCCGTCAAGGGGATTCAAACCGCCAACCTTCCGATCGGCAAGCCCTAGGCTCTGTGGTTTAGACCACAGCGCCACCCGCGTCCCTTTTGCCCAGATACTAGAGCAATGTTAAAAGGATACTACAGTGGTACCTTGGTTCTCAAACTTAACCCGTTCCGGAAGTCTGTTCCAAAACCAAAGCGTTCCAAAACCAAGGCGTGCTTTCCCATAGAAAGTAATGCAAAATGGATCAATCCATTCCAGACTTTTAAAAACAACCCCTAAAACAGCAATTTAATGTGAATTTTACTATCTAATGAGATCATTGATCCATAAAACAAAAGCAACAAACAATGTACTGTAGTCACACAATCAATCAATCAGTAGCTGAACTGGGTTCCACACAGTCACAAAAACAAAACAAAAAGAGATGCAAAACCAAAAACACAAAATAAATAGCAAAAACAGACAGACCTCAGCATAACACTCAAAACAGAAGCGTTAACACTCAAAACGGAGCACGTTCGGCTTCCAAAAAGTTGCCAAACCCAAACACTTACTTCTGGGTTTGCAGTGTTTGGGTTCCAAGTTGTTTGAGTACCACGGCACCACTGTACAAATAGTGTGGTGCAGTGGGTAGAGCATTGGGCTAGGATGATGGAGAGACCCAGATTAAAATTGACACTTTACCCATGAAGCTCACTGGGGGACCTTGGACCAGTCACACTCTCTTACCCAAACAACCAGGGTTGTCGCAAGGATAATTTTTGAGGAGGGTATGCTGCTGTATGCCATCCTGAGAGGAAAGGCAGGATTAAAATGAATTATAATGGTATGCCATGGTCCAATTTAGACAGCTGTACACAACCTGCGGCCCACTGAGCTAAATGCAGCAACTACTGCTTGATTTTCTTTAATAAAGTCCTATACATAATAAGTCCTATACATAAGAACCTGCTGAACCAGGTCAAAGTTGTCCACCTAGTCCAGTATCCTGTTCTCACAGTGGCCAACCAGATGCCCATGGGAAGCCTGTAAACAGAACATGAGTGTAACAGCACTTGTGACTCCCAACAACTGATTTTGTGTATTGTGGCCTGCCTAGTGTTTAACCACGATCCCAATTTTGCAGTCTCGGAGCCCCTGGTGGACCACCATATTAAGCGGTTGGGATGTCCTTGGTTTGGTGGGTCAGAAGATAATTCTCAGGCTCACTTTACAGGCATTGTGAAATATAGGCTATGAAATAATGTGTTAAAATATTCCAGTTTCTACTGTGCGTGTGTGTGTCCCCCCACCCCCTGCATTTTCCAGCTATTATGTAATCGGGATCGAACTTGAACCATTTTATCTGCTTTTTAAGAGCCAATGGTGGGGAGCCATAAACGAAGTAGTAAGCACACTTAAACCCAAAAGGCTTCCATTAACTGATATTCAAGCAATGGACCAATTCAAGAAAAGATTTGGCTATAAGAAGGCTATTAAATGCAAGGTATGGTTTTTGTTTTTTTAAGGGAATGGACCCTGTGAGGTCCACCACATTTATGGTCATCTTCCTTTAACAGCTCTTTCAGAACAGTTTTGCTCCTCTCCCTCTGTCGCTCAAAATCATGCTTCATTCCAGTTACAGCAGCCTTTGTGGATGGAGTCAACCCGACTGCCCTGCTTCTCAGGCCAGGTGGAAAATTTAAGGTTTCCAACCACCCTGTATGAAGCATAGGTTCCCACGAGACAAGAAACAACGATAACAGCAAGAACCTTTATTGAACTAACAGAACTGGACAGCAGGGGCAAACAACTGCTTATATACATTTCTGAAGGCCTGGGCCACTCCCACTCCCAACGTGATTGGCTATCTAAACTTCCAAGCTGCGAATCATGACTCAGAGTTTAAGGGCCAATGGCAGAGGCCCAAATCCTGAAATGTTCTGTGATTGGATATCATGTATCGAATCAGAACACAGGAACTCAAAATCCTTAGTCCAGACTCAAGCTCAGGCAAACACAGAATACAGTGGTGCCCCGCAAGACGAACGCCTCGCAAGACGGAAAACCCGCTAGACAAAAGGGTTTTCCGTTTTGGAGATGCTTCGCAAAACGAATTTCCCTATGGGCTTCCTTCGCAAGACGAAAGCCCATAGGGAAATCTCCGGGACAGCGGGGAAGCGCAGCGCGTCTTCCCCACTGTCCTCGGACCTCCCCCGAAGCCTGGCGGGGGGGCGGAGAGGTTTTTTAAAAACCCCGGGACAGCGGAGGACTTCTCCGCTGTCCGGGGCGATTTTAAAATGCTGGCGGGCGGCAGCGAACCCTTCGCTGCCGCCCGCCAGCATTTTAAAATCGCCCCGGACAGCAGAGAAGTCCCCCGCTGTCCCGGGGTTTTTTAAAATGCTGGCGTCTTCCCCGCTGTCCCGGACCTCTTTTGAAGCAAGGGGCAGCAACGCGGAGAAGCGATCTTCTCCCCTCCGCCCCTTGCTTCAAAAGAGGGGACAGAGGGGAAGGCGCGCGCGTCTTCCCCTTTCTCCCCGGACCCCTTTTGAAGCAAGGGGCGGCAACGAGGAGAAGCGATCTTCTCCCCTCCGCCCCTTGCTTCAAAAGAGGGGACAGAGGGGAAGGCGCACGCGCCTGCGCCTCTCTCCCCGGACCACTGTACATAACACTGTATAATACAGGATCGTCCCGTATGACAGTGTAAAATACTATGTCCTGTGCTGATTGAATACAGGATGCAGTTTGTCCCGTATTTCCGCTCCCCTGCCCCCCCTTTCTCTCTGCCAAGTTACGGCTCCTCTCCAAATCTATCTGTGTGAAAGGGTGTGTGAAAGTCATGTATTTAAGCTACAGGTAGCAAAGCTCAGACATATTTACAAATTCATGCATATCTGTCTCTGTGCATGTGACAAATTCCAGAGAAGCCATCCTGTTAGGCTGCCACAGATTGTAATGGATTGCTTTGAGTTCATTTATGCACCAGGTGGAAAAGAAAATCGCTCCAACGCCTCTCTCTGCCCCACCCTACCCTGCCCAGTATTTTGCCAGAACAAAAGTGGCAACCTTAGTGGAAATGGCCCAAACAGCCCATTCTCTGTTGCTTCCCTATTTATCAGACTCCTTCTGCCTCTGGCTGGTCAGGGCTGCTTGCCTTTGAGCTTTCTTCTCTGCTAACCTCAGCGAACGCCTGGTTTTGGGGGCAGCTACGTTTTCTGGGAGACACTCCAGTGACAGCGTCTCATTCAACTGCTGTTCAAGCTTTGCCTGTTGAATGCTTTCAAAGTCCTCCTCCTCATCTCCCATTATCTCCCAACTTTTGCCCTCATCTTCCTCTGGAGTGTGCCCTCTGCCAAACCACTTCTGGAGTATGGGGCCTCTCCCTCCGATAACAGGACTCTCATGAAGAGTATCTCAGCGACTCATATCTGCTCATTTGTTGTTGTTTAGTCGTTTAGTCGTGTCCAACTCTTTGTAACCCCATGGACCAGAGCACGCCAGGCACTCCTGTCTTCCACTGCCTCCCGCAGTTTGGTCAGACTCATGTTTGTAGCTTCAAGAACGCTGTCCAACCATCTCATCTTCTGTCATCCCCTTCTCCTTGTGCCCTCCATCTTTCCCAACATCAGGGTCTTTTCCAGGGAGTCTTCTCTTCTCATGAGGTGGCCAAAGTATTGGAGCCTCAGCTTCAGGATCTGTCCTTCCAGTGAGAACTCAGGGCTGATTTCCTTAAGAATGGATACGTTTGATCTTCTTGCAGTCCATGGGACTCTCAAGAGTCTCCTCCAGCACCATAATTCAAAAGCATCAATTCTTCGGCGATCAGCCTTCTTTATGGTCCAGCTCTCACTTCCATACATCACTACTGGAAAAACCATGGCTTTAACTATACGGACCTTTGTTGGTAAGGTGATGTCTCTGCTTTGCTTTTTAAGATGCTGTATCTGCTCATATGAGCATGCAAACAGCAGAGTAAACAAAAGCTTGGCTGCGAAAGTATGTAGCATCGCTAATTTTATTGCTATACATCAAATCAAACCAAATCATAATAAAGAAATTAACAACAGCGCAAGGAGCAGCTCACACAAAAATCCTGTCTGTCTGGGGAGACAGAACAAAGAGCCTAAAACAAAAGCACAGAGAACGGAAATGCGGTGTCTGAGTTTCCGTTCTCACACTTCCAGAAGAATGGAATGTAAACAGTGTGGATCACGAGATTCAACAGCAATGGGAGGATGAAAAATGCTAACATGGAGGTCTATACTAAATGCCCCTTCATCCTCTCTGGAAGACTCCTGGGAAGGTGGTCTCCACCACTTTCCTTCATCTGCCCAGGCCCTGACAGCCGGGTAGAAGCTTCCTGGACTTTGAGAAGGATGCTGGAGCCCTGATGCCTCCGTGATGGGAGGACTCTTGGACCCGGTCAGAGCATCATGTCTCCCACCCTAAGCTGGGCAGAAGCTTCCCAGGCTTTGAGAAGCAGGCACCAGAGTATTAATACTTTAATACTCTAATTTACTGGGAACATTTAGGGGACTAGCCTAGTCCCTCTACTCCACTGACTGCATGCCACTGGCAGGGTGATGATTTGGCTAAAATTTGTTGAGGGAGGGGGGTATCTTGAGGATTCCATTAAGGGCCTCTCTACATTTCCCCCTATAATTTGAGTACTGAAACTGGCATCCAGTGGTTGGGGCCAAGACTTCAGTGGCCTGTATACATCCTTGCCCATTCAATCTAACGAGCCAGGATGGAACGTGTGATACAGAAGAAGTACAAAATTATATAATGTGATGCAGAATAAGAGAGACCCTGTGTCTGCAGTCGGCTGGCCTCAGGAGTCAATTTATCTTGGTACAGAGTTTTAACTGTTCTCTTTCTTTCAGGGCATGGTACACACAGCCCAAATCAAAGTAGCTGAAAAATCACTGTATTCCTATTCTTGTTGTTTTTCTATGTGCCTTTTGGGCGTGTGACATTTAGAGCCTGCCATTTGGCATGAGGGCTGCTGCTGAAAGAGGGTTGGCTGCTATCTTCCTCACCTTCTGCCGCAAGACATCCCTCTCCAGCCTTGCTCTTTCAGACGATCATGGCTACGGTCTTATCCACTATGCTGCTATCTACAACCGTGTGTCCATTATATGCCAGCTGATTAAATCATATCTGACAATCAACCAGAGGCGCAGCATCCCAGTTAGCCAAGGTAAGAAATAGTATATGCTGAGAAGTTATTAGAGTCACAACTCCCAGGGGTCCTTCCCACAAGGAAAGCATCCCCCTGTCCCCTTTCTTGGTTGTAGAAAAGACTCTGTGCAAGAACCAGAGATATCTAAATCAGGCTTCCTCAAACTTGGCCCCCAGATGTTTTGAGACTACAATTCCCACCATCCCTGGCCACTGGTCCTGCTAGCTGGGGATCATGGGAGTTGTAGGCCAAAAACATCTGGAGGGCTGAGTTTGAGGAAGCCTTCGTTCACCTTTGTGGAGATCCCTCTTGATTCCAATTTTCTTTTCTGAAGTGTGTGAGATGCTTTATTGCTCCAGACATCACTGTTAGCCCTCATCTGACCTATTACCGACTCCAGTTCAGATACCTGTGTGGGCGAGCAGGCAGAGCAATGTGGTCCCACTTGGCTCCAGTGGGGGGTTGCTTTGGCACTGGGCTGGAGCAGCGGTCTCTGTCCCCCGCCTGGCATACGTGCCCACCCACCCTGGGCATTGGCAACCCACAATATGCTGCTGTGCTGGACAACAGCTCCCATCATCTGACCATTGGCCCTGCAGACTGAAATCCATCAACATCTGGAGAGGAGAACCACAGATTCTTCATGTCTGAAATAACTGTTTGGAGGAGGCCTTTATTATTAGATTGAGAAGCAGGATAGTGTATACCAAAAGAAAGAAAGAAAGAAAGAAAGAAAGAAAGAAAGAAAGAAAGAAAGAAAGAAAGAAAGACGCAATAGCCAAATCATAATAAATACATTTTTTTCTAGGGAAACGTCCCCAGAAATCTGATCCAAAGGGTAAGTGATAAATAATTTGTTGTCCTCTGACTTTTGTAATATATATAAGTATACAAAATAAAGTTGTGCTAGCTTTAGGAAAACTAGGGGCTATAAGTTTAAGGGCAAAGGCTTGCAGCTTCTGTACCTTAAGAGATAATGCTCTATAGTGTAACTAGAACGGTTCATTCAATGAAATATTTGAGTTAGTGGGAGCTTTGCTCTTGCCATTAAGGGGTGCACAGGTAAGCCCATTCGGAAGAAAATCTCTTCGGAATCCATTAAGCATGTTGCAGTTTTGTAATTTTGTTCCAGGAGTAAATTTAATGCAGAGATTACATTGTAAACACACACACATACACATAAAATAATAATAATTAAAAAGATTGATTGCACTGAAGTCGATAGTATTTCGTCACTGGAAATTCTGCATAGCCAATAGCTTTGGAACCTATGATATAATTAATCTTAAAATAAGAACCTATGTCTATATATCACACTGGCATGTAGGGATGTCATGCTTGGAGTGATTAAATAAATATGCTTTCTTTCAGGAACAACGAGCTTCCAAGATAAGGACATTGCAGGAGAGAAAAGTGGTGAGTTGCAAAAAACCACAGCATTACCTTTTTTATAGTCTACACTGATGAAAATTATTTAGTTTGTTGCCATTGATTTCTCTTTCTTTCTCCACTAAGGCTGGGCTATATGCTGTTCATATTCAGGGGTGGGCAGAGATTTTGCTATGTTTTCCATTTTTAATGCTACAATGCATGGCATGTTCGATGCTTTTTAAAAAATCTGATAAATTCACATGCTATTTTTCTAGTGCTGGAAAGAGAAACAATATCGATTCTGTGAAAATTCAGCGTGGTGGGGAGGTGAGAGTGTGAAACTAGGACCTTAGAGAGACTAGGTTTCAAGCTTACTGGGTGACCTTGGGCCAGCCCCTGCCTCTCAGACTAAGCTACCTTATAGGGTTGTCGTGGTTTTGAAACGAGGGGGGGGAGAAGCAAAGACATCACCTTGAGCTTTTTGGAGAAAAGGGCTATAAATTCAACACATACATACATATTCAGTCAAACAGAATCAGTTCTGGAAGTCCGTTCGACTTCCAAAACATTCAGAAACCAAAGTGCAGCTTCTGGTTGGCTGGAGGAAGCTCCTGCAGCCAATCAGAATCCGCCGAAGCTGCGCTGGACATTCGGCTTCTGAAAATCGTTTGAAAACCAGAACACTCACTTCCCGTTTTCGATTGTTCAGGAGCTGCAACGTATGAGTTCCAAGGCATTCAGCAACCAAGGTACGACTGTACACATAAAATAATAAAGGGGTGTCGTAGAAACAGCACTAATATAAAACTAGCAAATAATTATTCAAACACTGGGGGCTCTGCCTTAGATTTTGCCAGCTGAAGTGTACCATGTTATGTACTGAAGTTCTCATCCTGGGCCAGCAGGGGGATACTGTAGATAGTTATGCAAATAAGGGATCGAAAGTGACATTCAGTGATTGGATAGTTTTAGAAAATTGTTACAATTACATTGTACTGGAGCTCTATATAAGCAGGCTGACTGAACCCTTCAGTTCAGTTCTGTCCTGGCCTGTGAATAAACAAGAACTGTTTGAAGAATCGCTGTGTCGTCTGATATGTTCACCCACAACTTAACATACCATGTCTGTGTAGTTCAGGGGTAGGCAACCTAAGGCCCGGGGGCCAGATGCGGCCCGATTACCTTCTAAATCCGGCCCGCAGACGGTCCAGGAATCAGCGTGTTTTTACATGAGTAGAGTGTGTCCTTTGATTTAAAATGCATCTCTGGGTTATTTGTGGGGCCTGCCTGGTGTTTTTACATGAGTAGAAAGTGTGCTTTTATTTAAAATGCATCTCTGGCTTATTTGTGGGGCATAGGAATTTGTTCATTTCCCCCCCAAAATATAGTCCAGCCCACCACATGGTCTGAGAGACGGTTGACTGTCCCACGGCTGAAAAAGGTTGCTGACCCCAGTGTAGTTCATTCTATTGCGTCTTGTTCCCTCTGTCAGGTTTTGGTCCCACTGCTTTGCACCTATCAGCTCAGTGCTCCTCCGTCGAAGCCCTCCATTTCCTCCTGGCCTTAAAAGCAGATTACGAAATACCTGATGAACATGGGTGGCTGCCTATACATTACGCTGCCTTCTATGACAATGTTACCTGCTTCACAATTCTCTACCGAAAACACCCAGCTTCGTTAGAGTCTGAAACACGAAATGAGTAAGTAAGCAGAAAACAGCATGGGAATTTACGCCGCCTTGTTTCCTTTTGGAATTCAAGTAAGGAACTCTAAATATTGTCAAGTTTCAGAGTTCGAAGCTTAGTGATTATGCATAATGTAACACCAAATTGCCCAATCTTGGGTCAATCAATTTGAGACAAGGGTTCATAATGTGCCCATCAGCTGGCTACATAACTATCTGGTCTTACATTTGCCTGCAAGGGAACAGGCTATTCTAGGGTGTGATCATGTTTTGAAATGTTTGCTATGTCAACTTCTAATCAATCTAAAGGTGTACTGTCCCATATCAATCAAATCCTCCTGGAAGAGTCTACTGGGAGCGTGGAGGACCTTCAGATAGCCTAAGAATGCAGTCTAGGCCAACGTTCACCTTCATGTTCCGGGTTCAAGCCTGGAATCCTTGATAAGAGTCCTTTTTAGAGCAATCAACGTTGCAAAGTGGGAAGGTAAAGAGAGCTAGATAGGCAGGCAAAGAAACTATCCCACCACAGCCCAGTTCAGCTCAACTGCGTTTCTGTTACATGCAATTTATCTGGAAGGCTAAAATAACAATAAATCCTATATAAACTTGCCAGTGAGTATATCCCAATGAACATTAGGGCTGGCCAGTATCTGGTTTTCAACACTGTGATATATCCCCAGTTAAACATCACAATATACCAATATATCACAATGTCTGAAATAAGGATGGAGCTATCTAGAGGCATTGGCTGGCTTCACGGTTTTCCCCACATTGTGATTTTTCCATCGCACACATCAAGATCCGCAATATGCTGCCAGGTCAAAAATTATGAAACCAGTATCATGATACGGACTTGAAACCAGTTTTGAGTGATTATATTGCCCAGCCCCTTTATGATTTGCAATATATTGCCAGGTCAAAAACGATGAACCCGATATCACAATATGGACTTCAGACCAGTTTTGGATGATATATCGATATCTCACCAAGCCCTAATGAACATGATAGGGCTTTCCTTATTAGAGAACATAGGGAGATGTGCATACTTTTATTTGTTCATTTTTGGCCACAATTCTTCATCTACTTTTCTAGGAGTGAATCTCATTGTACTCAGTAGGGCTTGCTTCTGAATAGATGTGTGCAGGATTCTACTGTCACTTGGCAGCTAACTTGCAGAAACAATACCCTGGCTTGCAAATAGCTTACCATGAACACATGGATGTGCAGATAGCCAGTGTGGTGTAGTGGTTAAGAGCAGTGGACTCGTAATCTGGTGAACCGGGTTCGCTTCCCCGCTCCTCCACATGCAGCTGCTGGGTGACTTTGGGCTAGTCACACTTCTCTGAAGTCTCTCAGCCTCACTCACCTCACAGAGGTGTTTGTTGTGGGGGAGGAAGGGAAAAGGAGATTGTTAGCTGCTTTGAGACTCCTTAGGGTAGTGATAAAGCAGGATATCAAATCCAAACTCTTCTTCTTCTTCTTTGGGAAAGGGATCACAATCATAGTTTGGCTTAGCATTTTGTATGACTCCAGGCCAAGCGTTTAGCTCTCTCTGGACTAACCGTGAACTATGACCAAGGCTTGTCCTGTATATGAAATAAAATCAATTTCATCATCCTATTTCGCTGAGTATTTATCTGCATCGCAGTGATGTTTCTCCTCTCTCCTACAGAAAATGCTCCACCCCACTTTTGCTTGCGGCTACATCTGGGGCATTAGATACGATCCAGCATTTGTTTTCTCTCGAAGCCAACTGGCTGAAAAAGGACAGCGAAGGAAATAATATCATTCATTTGGCAGTGCTGAACTTTCACACGGAGGTTCTGAAGCATCTGGTTGAGCTGCACAACCCTGATCTTCCGGTTTGGAAAACTCTTGTTGGTAAGCACATCAGTTCGTCTCCCTGCAAAGTGGTTCTCGGTGGCCCTGACTCACTGGGATGTTTCAGTTCATGAGGATGCAACAGGTCATGGAGGATGCAACAGCCCCCACAGCCCAGTGATAACACACCTGATGCTGTATTATCTAGGGGCAGGATAGGAATAGAGGCAGAAGCTGGAGGGAACTCTGTAAAGACTTGTCCCACACCGTAACGGATTTGTCAGAAGGGACTTTGAACTACCACGTGGTGGCAGCATAGGACTCAGCAGGCTGACAAGGAAATATTGGCAGACTAAATGCTTTCTATTAACCCACTAAAAAGGTGAACGGTAAAGGTAAAGGACCCCTGGACGGTTAAGTACAGTCAAAGGAGACTATGGGGTTGCGGTGCTCATCTCGCTTTCAGGCTGAGGGAACCGGCGTTTGTCCACAGACAGCTTTCCGGGTTATGTGGCCAGCATGACTAAACCGCAACACTACCAAAACTAAAACAAAATAACAATAAAAGCACACAGTTTTAGCTGTTGAATATGTTGGCCATCAAGTACTAAAGACCTGGGTAGACTAAAATGTTGTTTGAATGAACTGTACTGCTTCAGGATAATGGTGAGGAGGGATACCTCTTTTGAATGCCTCCAAGTTTTTAAAGCTTGCTCTGAGTAGAAAAGGGACTATTTTAATGAAGGGGGATATTAAAAAGAAATAAAATCTGCCAACTGTAGTCTGAAATGGTATAATCTAGAGGTTTTCAATCTTTTTGAGTCCACGGCTCCCTTAACCGACTACATTTTTTTCTGCAGCAACCCTTTGGGGCTCAGTAGCCCAGTTACGCCACCCCTTGCCTGCAGAGCTGCCAGCCTCTCACCCTTTTTCGAACACCCTCCCTTGTGGAGTGTTCCCTCAGCCTGTTCTCCCCTCTCCTTGGGAGTCCTCCAGGCAGCTGCAGCTGCAGCCCCTGGTCTCTGAACTGCCCCACCCCTGCCCCATAGAGAGGTGCCTCCCAGAGGCACCATTTGCCTGGGGAGCTTGTAGCCAGGGCTGCTGCAATAAACAGCCGTGCAAGCCTTTGGGAGACAGAAACGCAAAAGGGCATCAGAGGAGGGAGGGAACGGAAGAGGAACAGAGGCCAGTGTTGCCCGCAGCACCCCTGACCATCATTCAGGGCAAAATGCAAATAAATAAATAAATAATTCACTGTTGATACCTCATTCTTGAATTGCCCCTCTGAAATTTACTCGGAGTCGAGAGTGGATTCCATGCTCTTTATTCAGCTCATAGTGGTGAGGAGGAATGGAAGTTCCCCCAGAATGTATGCTTTATATACATTATTTACACAATGGGCCCCACATGATTGGCTAATTCCGGGATTCTCCTGTGGGCCAATCAGGTTGCGGATTCCCTTCCACCTGGAGCTGGATTGGGTGGCTCCTGTGGAGCAATCAGACTGCTGCATTCTGGATCCTATTGTTCTAAGACCAATCAGGCTGCTGCATTCTGAATCTATTGTTCTAGGAGCAATCAGATTGCTGCATTTTGGATCCTATTGATCTCAGTACATAACAAATCCATTCTACCTAGAGCTGCATCAGAGTTTTGAAAATGTGTTTCCTGGCCATTTATTGGCTGGATAAACTACAACGAAAAACAATTCTGCAAACTGGAGTTATTGCAAAAAGGTTCAGCTTGGATACATCCTTTGGGATAACCAGCAAGTGTCTTCAGGTTGCTTTGGTGATTCTCAACAGGTATGCTGGACTGCAAAGAGCAGAAAAGGAAAGAAATGGCAATACGGTGTTTGGAAGTCCTTTGTCTCGCCAAAAATAATTACTGGAAGTGCATTTTGGATGCAGGTGAGATAAGCAGAACAAGATATGTTGCTGTCTTTATGCTATAGGTCGGGGGGGGGGCAGATATTGTTGAAAGACAGTTCCAATAATCCCTCCTACCACTGGCCTGTCTGGCTAGGGCTGATGGAGTCCAGCAACAACTTGGGGTGCCAGAGGTTCCCCATTCCTGCTGTAGGTTTTCATATAAGTATCTGTGCAGCAGCTACTAAATGCCCATATAAGGTGATTTCAAGCCTTATGAGGAACAGTTGAGGGAGCTGGGTATGTTTGGCCTGGATAAGAGCAAATAATGACAGCCACCTTCAAATATCTAAAGGGCTGTCACATGGAAGAGGGAGCAGACTTGTCTTCTCCTGTTCTGGAGGCTAAGACCTAAAACCAATGCCTTCAAGCATTGAAGGACACTCTGACTAAGCATCAGGAATAACTTTCTGGTGATAGGAGCTGTTTGACAGTGAAATGGACTCCCTTGGAAGGGGGTGGAGGTTTTTAAGCAGAGGTTGGATGGCTATCTGTCATCATGGATGCTTCAGTTGAGATTCCTGCATTGCAGGGGGTTGGACTTGATGACCCTCGGGATCCCTTCCAACTCTACTGTTCTACGATTCTAATAACAAGGGGGGGGGACAATAAAAGAGATTAATCCAAGCCTGATGTGAATGCATAGGAAGACATAGTACCTCTTCCTTCCATCCTTGCCTTTTTAAAGCAAACGGTACACACAGGGTTGGATCCAGACGAATGTGGTTCCCACTAAAAATCATCCATCTATCTATCTATCTATCTATCTATCTATCTATCTATCTATCTATCTATCTATATCTATCATCTATTCTTTTCAAGTTTATACATTTCACTAATTTTATACATTTCACTAATTTTACAATCATTTTGACATTTCAAAACTTGACTTCCTTCCCCCACATTCTGGCGTTCCTTAAATTTTGTTTTTAATATCTTCTGCATATCCAAATTAACTTAATTTGCTCATTTACTCATCTTCTTTAAATATATACTCTTACAAAACTGCAGGTTATTACAATAATCCTGCCAATGTTTTCATCTGTTTATAATTTATCTAGTTCCCACTAAAAATCAAAGGACTTGAAGCTATGACAAACTTGCCGCATTGCTTTTGGTGCTATACCTAAGCTGAGTTCGGATTAAAGGTAAAGGTACCCCTGCCCGTACGGGCCAGTCTTGACAGACTCTAGGGTTGTGCGCCCATCTCACTCAAGAGGCCGGGGGCCAGCGCTGTCCAGAGACACTTCCGGGTCACGTGGCCAGCGTGACATCGCTGCTCTGGCGAGCCAGAGCTGCACACGGAAACGCCGTTTACCTTCCTGCTAGTAAGCGGTCCCTATTTATCTACTTGCACCCGGAGGTGCTTTCGAACTGCTAGGTTGGCAGGCGCTGGGACCGAGCAACGGGAGCGCACCCCGCCGCGGGGATTCAAACCGCCGACCTTTCGATCGGCAAGCCCTAGGCGCTGAGGCTTTTACCCACAGCACCACCCGCGTCCCTGCATTCGGATTACTTATTTTTAAACTGTTATTTATGCAGCACCATCCGTTGCAAATCCCACAAGGGTGTACTCTAGGAAAGTTCTCTGCTTCCTTGCTCCTGGGAGTAGATCGGCTTAAAATAAAGCGAACTGTTGGAGGCAGCTCTTAACATGTTGGAAGCATCTTCTTCAAATACATTTTTAAATGAAATTGTGAAAGACTGAATGTCCTCGCTGAAAGAAACCACTGGGGGCAGGATTCAGCAGAATTAACAGTAGATGATAACACCCTAGTTAATAACTGTATGGGGGCTGCAGCATCCTCACTTTTTTGTAGATACCAGCCACATTCAGATGTAACAGTAAACCATAGTTTAGTGCTACTCTATAGTTTTCTCCTCCTCTGGCACAGCCTCCCCTAAAACCTTGCTGCTGGGAGGAGATTGGCTTGATGGATTTAAAATGGCGTGACAATGAATTGAAAAGGATGTTCAAAATAACTTCTATTCAAAAAAAAACAAAACAGAAGCTTTTCTTTTGGGAATTATAGGGACAGAACTACCTAAGTTGTATAGAAATTTATTTACGTATGCTACTACAGCAGCAGGGACGTGGGTGGTGCTGTGGGTTAAACCACAGAGCCTAGGACTTGCTGATCAGAAGGTCGGCGGTTCGAATCCCCACTGACGGTGTGAGCTCCCTTTGCTCGGTCCTTGCTCCTGCCAACCTAGCAGTTCGAAAACACATCTAAGTGCAAGTAGATAAATAGGTACCACTCCGGCGGGAAGGTAAACAACATTTCCGTGCGCTGCTCTGGTTCACCAGAAGCAGCTTAGTCATGCTGGCCGCATGACCCGGAAGCTGTACGTTGGCTCCCTCAGCCAATAAAGTGAGATGAGCGCCGCAACCTCCCTCAGCCAATAAAGTGAGATGAGCGCCACAACTGGACCTAATGGTCAGGGGTCCCTTTACCTTTACTGCAGCAGCAAGAATATTACTGGCCCAAAAGTGGAAAGAAGCAAAAGTCCCAGTAAAGGAAGAATGGAATGGAAACTTACAGAATTTGCAGAAATGGCGAAACTTACCGGAAGAATAAGAAATCAAGATAACAAACTTTTTATAAAAGACTGGAAATGGTTTATTGAACATTTACAGATAAATTGCAAACAGATAAAAACATTAGCAGGATTATTGTAATAACCTGCAGTTTCACAAGGGCATATATTTACAGTAGATAATTAAATGAGCAAGTTAAATGAATTTGGATATGCAGAAGATACTTTTTTAAAAACTTTTTTAATGAACCGCAGAAAGAAGATCAAGGAAGTCACTTTTTAAAATGTTAAATTGATTGTAAAATTAATGAAATGTATAAACTTGAAAAGTATAAATAAAACCTTAAAAATATATAAATAAAATGGCATCTTTAAAATGATATTTTAATATTTAAGTTTCAGTATTTTTTTAGTTTTGCTATAAATTGCCTCAAGCACCCTGTAGGAAGACAAGTCATGCCTTATGTAAATAAATAAACTCACCATCTTAAATAATATTCTGAGCTCATTTACAAAAATCAGGATACCTGAAGCAGTTGGTTTATGCGTGTTAGTAAAACCAGCTATGCTTGTTGGCACAGGCAGGAAATCCCAATAGACCTTGCTTTCTAAGCTTCCTTCTCAAACCCATGAATTCTGCACTAATCTCTGCCCTCTCTCAGCATAAGGCCATGCTGTAGCTTCTGTGATCCTTCAGCCATTGATCCAGAGATAAATGAGGAACAACGCAACCCCATCCCAAGCGACCCCACCCTCCAAAAAGTGCAATGCCAACCACATACCCAATCCTATGAGTGCAGTGAACTCCACGTCACCCTCCAAGCTTGGGAGGGAGATGGTGGGAACCAGGAGGCCCCTTGTACTTGTGAATGCCCCCCGTGTGAGAGAGAGAGACAGACAGACAGACAGACAGATAGATAGATAGATAGATAGATAGATAGATAGATAGATGATAGATAGATAGATGATAGATAGATAGATAGATAGATAGATAGATAGATAGATAGATAGATAGATGATAGATAGATAGATAGATAGATAGATACTGTAAATAATAATAATAATAATAATAATAATAATAATTTATTATTTATACCCCGTCCATCTGGCTGAATTATTATTATATAAATAATAATTTATTATTTATACCCCGCCACTCTGGCGACTTCCAATCAAGTGTTAAAAAAATACAGCATTAAATATTAAAAACTTCCCTAAACAGGGCTGCCTTCAGATGTCTTTTAAAAAGAAGATAGCTGCTTATTTCCTTCACATCTGAAGGAATGGCGTTCCACAGGGCGGGCGCCACTACCAAGAAGGCCCTCTGTCTGGTTCCCTGTAACCTCACTTCTTGCAATGAGGGAACCGCCAGAAGGCCTTCGGTGCTAGATCTCAGTGTCCGGGCTGAATGACGGGGGTGGAGACGCTCCTTCAGGTATACAGGACCGAGGCCATTTAGGGCTTTAAAGGTCAGCACCAACACTTTGAATTGTGCTTGGAAATGTACTGGGAGCCAATGCAGATCTCTCAGGACTGGTGTTATGTGGTCCCAGCGGCCACTCCCAGTCACCAGTCTAGCTGCCGCATCCTGGATTAATTGCAGTTTCTGGGTCACCTTCAAAGGTAGCCCCACATAGAGCGCATTGCAGTAGTCTAAGCGGGAGATAACTAGAGCATGCACCACTCTGGCAAGACAGTCCGCAGGCAGGTAGGGTCTCAGCCTGCGTACCAGATGGAGCTGGTAGATAGATAGATAGATAGATGATAGATAGATAGATAGATAGATAGATAGATAGATTTAAATTTTCTGTTTTACCATTTAGAATATTCATTTGAATAACCTTAAAATGTCAATGACTTCCCTTCTTCTCTTTCCATGGTTCGTTTTGTATATTATAAATCCCTGCATAAACTAAACCATTCAGTATTCCATTGTTACATCTATCAAAACTTGTTTACACTGTTGAATTTATCTTAATGCTGCCAACGTTTTCAAGTGTGCACAATTTTCCTCCATATACAGTGGTGCCCCGCAAGACGAATGCCTCGCAAGACAAAAAACCCGCTAGACGAAAGGGTTTTCCGTTTTTGAGTTGCTTCACAAGACGAATTTCCCTATGGGCTTGCTTTGCAAGACAAAAACGTCTTGCGAGTCTTGCGATTTTTTTCCGCTTTCCCCCCCTTTTTCTAAGCCGCTAAACCGCTAATAGCCTTTTAGCCACTAAGCCGCTAAGCCTTTAATAGCCGCTAAGCCGCTAAACCGCTAATAGCGCTAATCCGCTAAGCTGCTAATAAGGTTGCTTCGCAAGACGAAAAAACCGCTAGACGAAGAGACTTGCGGAACGGATTATTTTCGTCTTACGGGGCACCACTGTATTCAATAAACATTTTCCATTCTTCTTTAAATGTATGTTCTTCTTGTTCTCTTATTCTATGAGTTAGGTCCGCAAGCTACGCATATTCCATCAGTTTAAGTTGCCATTCTTCTTTAGTTGGGACCTCACTCGTTTTCCATTTTTGGGCTAACGAAACATGGGCCGCAGTAGTGGCATACATAAACAAACTTTTCTGACACCTGGGAATTTCTATCTGAATTATCCCCAACAAAAAGGATTCTGGGTGTTTGTTTGTTTTTGGAAAAGTTATTTTAAACATTTTTTTCAATTCATTGTGGATTATTTCCCAATACTCTTTTACCCTTTTACAAGTCCACCACATGTGAAAGAATGTGAGGGGTCCCCACATGATGTAAAGCCCCCTTTTGTATTTTCCATTGAGCAGGAAACCTCCATGGGTTTGAGAGCGAGAAGGATGGTGAGGTTAGGGGTGTGAGGAACATAATGCTCTCAATCCTACCCTGTCTTGCTCACGTGTAGGGTTACATGCACAAGTAGGGCTTTTGTAATCTTTCATACATCCCTCCCCTGCCAACACATACAGCTTCTTCTATTCTCTTCTAAACAAGTCAGAAACTTTCAAGTGATTCACAGGATGTTGTGTTTGTGAAAGAAAACTGTAACTGACCCTTCGTTTGCGCTCTGCACCGCAGGTACCATACCCTCGTTAATCAACTTGTTAAAAAGTGGCATCATCTACCTGGAGTGCATCACTGTGGGAGTTCTGAGTAACATCTCAATCCACGAGTCCATCGCCAAAGCTTTTGTAGAAGCAGGAGGCATCACAGTATTAATTAAGCTACTGTCAACTCATGAACCTGAATTGCTTTCCCGTTGTGCTGTCCTTTTATATGATATTGCCCAGTTGGATAACAATCAGGTTATAATTGCTGAACAGGTAAGCCTAACCCTAAAAAAAACACCACCTTAGCATTGTCTTTCATTCCCTCCTTTTTAAAATGTATAATAATAATAATAATAATAATAATAATAATAATAATAATAAAGTGTTTGCTTTTACTTCAGGTATGTTCAATTTGTAAAAGTATCCTTAGAGACTCCCCTTTCTTCCTTTGAATCATAGAACTGTAGACCCGTAAGGGACCCTGAGGATCATATAGGTACATTGAAACTAATCTTAATTGTGCTTAAGGTTCCTAATAGTAATGTCAGGAGTCCAGGTTCCCAACTTGATAACACAGTAATCGTAGGTAATTAAAAAGGAGGATTTGTTGCAAAAACAAACAGATACCTTCGGAAAGGTCTGAGAAAGCCTCTGGCATCATTACTCAAGATGACCCTTCTGAATATTTCTTCCGGCGTTGACAGAAGATATTGAACTTACGACCCTTAAGTCTCTTGTGTTGCTTCCTATCTAGCAGCCCTCCCATTCGCCGACTCTTCAGACTTCAGTGGATCAGCTCCAACCTCTTCCTGTTCTGTGAGGCTGACTCTGAGTCTTTTCGCGCCTATTTGTACTTCCTGCGAGCTTTGGCTGTGTTCCAGCCTGCTCTCAGCTACTGCCTTATCAGCCTGCTCATCAAAGTCAGGAAGAGCTGGTCTGCAGCTGCCGGCTCTCCCCTGCCTGACTAACATCTAAGCCCCTCTGTTCCTGGCTGCTTTCTGCAGTTGGCTGCAAACCTTTGCTTGCAGCTGGCTCATTCCTGACAAGTAACTAGAGTTCTCCTCAGTGGTGGAAGCTGTTCCGAGATTCTGCCATGAGCCACCACCATGCTCCCTGGCCCCTAACTTACTGTGGGTGGCACTCTAAGCACTGGGTTGTCAGCTTCTTCCTCCTTAGTCTCAGTGTTTCCTTTGTAGAATTCAGTAGGGGGAATGGGGTCAAAACCAGAATTAGTTGGCTCTGCCTGTTTCTGGCTCTGGCTCTGGCTCTACCTTTTGCTGTATTCCCTGCCTTCTGCCCTGTTGTTTAGTCGTTTAGTTGTGTCCGGCTCTTCGTGACCCCATGGACCAGAGCACGCCAGGCACTTCTGTCTTCCACTGCCTCCCGCAGTTTGGTCAAACTCATGCTGGTAGCTTCGAGAACACTATCCAACCATCTCATCCTCTGTCGTCCCCTTCTCCTTGTGCCCTCCATCTTTCCCAACATCAGGGTCTTTTCCAGGGAGTCTTCTCTTCTCATGAGGTGGCCAAAGTATTGGAGCCTCAGCTTCAGGATCTGTCCTTCCAGTGAGCACTCAGGGCTGATTTCCTTAAGAATGGATACGTTTGATCTTCTTGCAGTCCATGGGACTCTCAAGAGTCTCCTCCAGCACCATAATTCAAAAGCATCAATACTTCGGCGATCAGCCTTCTTTATGGTCCAGCTCTCACTTCCCTACATCACTACTGGGAAAACCATAGCTTTTACTATACGGACCTTTGTTGGCAAGGTGATGTCTCTACTTTTTAAGATGCTGTCTAGGTTTGTCATTGCTTTTCTCCCAAGAAGCAGGCGTCTTTTAATTTCATGGCTGCTGTCACCATCTGCAGTGATCATGGAGCCCAAGAAAGTAAAATCTCTCACTGCCTCTATTTCTTCTCCTTCTATTTGCCAGGAGGTGATGGGACCAGTGGCCATGATCTTCATTTTTTTGATGTTGAGCTTCAGACCATATTTTGCGCTCTCCTCTTTCATCCTCAATAAAAGGTTCTTTAATTCCTCCTCACTTTCTGCCATCAAGGTTGTGTCATCTGCATATCTGAGGTTGTTGATATTTCTTCCGGCAATCTTAATTCCGGCTAGGGATTCATCCAGCCCAGCCTTTCGCATGATGAATTCTGCATATAAGTTAAATAAGCAGGGAGACAATATACAGCCTTGTCGTACTCCTTTCCCAGTTTTGAACCAATCAGTTGTTCCATATCCAGTTCTAACTGTAGCTTCTTGTCCCACATAGAGATTTTCCTTCTGCCCTACCAGCCCCTATAAACACCAGTCTCCTCTGTTCCTAAACCCAGGATTAGGAACCCACGTCAAGCCAAGAGATTCAGATCCCAGGTTAAGAGAAGTACTGGTTAGCCTTAAATGGGTGTGAAGATGTATTTACTAATTGTGGCTAGATAAAGAGGGAACATTCTCAAAGTTGGCTTCTGATGGACAGAGAACAAGAGTCGTGTCTGCACTATCGACAGTTTGATATATGTGACTGAATGGATCTCGCTGCTTTCTTCAACACTATTTTTCTTTCTTTCTTTTTCCTGCAGGGTGGAATTCCTGCGCTTGTCAATCTGTTGCAGTACAACATAGAAGACCTGCTTGTGAACGTAATAAATTGCATTCGAGTAATGTGCATTAACAACCATGAGAACCAGTTGAAAGTGAAAGATGCCAGGGGCATTGAGCCACTTGTCAACTTCTTGCAGTCAGATTCAGGTAGAGCAAAGGAACAAAATGCAGAATCACAAGGACTGCTATCCATACACAGGGGAGTGGGCACAGTGCACGTTCTCCTGGACCCCCTTTTTGGAGGAGGGCAACAGACCATCTAAGCCGCAAGGAGTGGCTACTGGGGGTGCAGCAGGGGCAGATTTAGGGCAGTCCAATTGGTGCAGTCACACCAGGCGTTCAGTTGAGAAGGGTGCCTTCTCAAAGCCTGCTAAATGCTTGCCTGGCTTTGGGAAGGAGGTATGAGGGCTCTGGCAGGGTCCTAGAATCCTCCTGTGAGCCAGCGTGGTGTAGTGGTTAAGAGCGGTGGACTCGTAATCTGGTGAACCGAGTTCGTTTCCCCGCTCCTCCACATGCAGCTGCTGGGTGACCTTGGGCTAGTCACATTTCTCTGAAGTCTCTCAGCCCCACTCACTTCACAGAGTGTTTGTTGTGGGGGAGGAAGGGAAAGGAGATGGTTAGCCGCTTTGAGATTCCTTAAGGGGAGTGAAAGGTGGGGTATCAAGTCCAAACACCTCCTCCTCCTCCTCTTCTTCTTCCTGCCTCCTTCCCAAAGCTGGACAAGTACTTACTGGATTTTAGGAAGGTGGGAGGAGGGCCCTAGGACCATGCCATAACCTCGTGCCTCTTTTCTAAAGCCCAGCTTAAGCCGGTGAATGGCCTTGCATAGGGCAGCATATTACCAAGGTCTGCCCCTGAGCACAGAGATAGAACTTCTAGAGATGCTGCTTTTTAGGGGAGGGGGCAAATCAAGGAGGGGTGAGGCCCAAGTAGCAAGTTTGGGTTACACATGGACATGGATTATGGATTTACTGGCTCGGTTGAGAGCCTGTGTTGCAGGGATAAGGAACCTGTGAGCTTCCATATGCTGTCAGACTACAACTCCCATCATCCCTTACCATTGGCCTATCTGGTTGGGACTGATCCCTGCAGTATTGCTTAACAAACATTGTCTTAGGTAACAGAATACTAGACGTTTATTACTACATCAAATCTCTGATCTGCAAATGAAACGTAAAATAATAACAGTGAAAACAGTAACAGGGCTGTTATTTGCTGTGGTCTTACATGTGGCTGGCTCTTACTGTTTCGTGATCTTTTTCTGCATAAAGATGTGCTGCTGGCCGTGGCTTCGGCAGCGATTGCAGAACTTGCTCGAGGGAATTTTAGAATGCAGAACGCCATTGCTGATGCGCAAGTCATTACCCCTCTAGTTGAACTTCTCAGAGGAAGGAAAATCAGTGTCCAAGTGAAAGGAGCAATGGCGATCGAGGCACTCGCTGAAAGGAACACTAACATCCAGATGAGATTTCTATCCAAGTCTGTGACCAAATTCCTTTTAAAGCTCCTGAAGGCAAGTATTTTCCCATCTTTTCTCTGGGATTTTTAGAGCAGCTGAGGAGGCTGATATCTGACCTCACCGGATAACTTTGTAGCTTGGTCCTTCTGAGTTCAGTGGAGCTTATTGACGATGAAGCCTGCTTGGGATTACATCCTCTCAGACGTTAACGCTTCGAAATATAACCAGGAACATTTTATTATTATTATTATTATTTTGCCCAATCTGCAGGCTTTTCACCTGAAAGTTAAAGAACAAGGTGCTGCCACACTTTGGGCCCTGGCAGGGCAAACCTTGAAGCAGCAGAAATACATGGCAGAACAGATTGGATACAACCTTATTATCGATATGCTGCTGTCACCCTCTGATAAAATGCAGTGTGTTGGTAAGTCAACTGTCAGGTGGCTGTTGTGGTTGCTCGAGAGTAACCAGGCAGGACTCCAACCTTTGTTTTACAGGCTTTATTTTGGTGCAAACTATTTACAGTGAAGAGCCCCAAAGTTCATGTCTGGCTCAGTCACTAGCAGAATCCGGGAGTGGTCTTTTTTGGGACCTCCCCCAACATAAGAGTTTCGTTACCCCCAACCGTTTCCTCCCCTCTCTGCACCTCAAACTACTGCTCAGGATGGGCGATGGCAAGGGCGTGTTTCCCTCCTGACCGGCTTGCCCAGAAGCGGTGTTAAGGCTCCCACCAGCATCCTCTGGTCCTTGCACCTCATCCTCACTGGAGGTGGGGCTTTCCTCCTCCTCCCTGGAAGAGGAACTCCTTCGCAAGATTTTCGGAGGCTCACTGTAACTGGGAGAGGCCCTTCTATTTCTCGCCTCTGAGCCAATGGCAGTTTCCTGACATGACATCAACCTTTTCCGTTACATTTCTGAAAGAAAAACTAGGCATGGGGCTGAAGGTTTCTAAATGTGTGTTGCTGTGGTTGTTTTGGAAGGAGGTGAAGCCGTCATAGCTCTTAGCAAGGAGAGCGAAATTCACCAGAACCAGATCTGCGAAGGGAATGGAATTTCCCCTTTGGTTCGGCTGCTGAGGAGTGGAAGGATAGCAGAGGGCACACTGCTCAGTGTCATCAGAGCCTTGGGGACCATTTGTATTGGTTTGTAGTTCCTTTTCTGTTGTACTTAGGTTATGTTATAAGAAAAAACTGCTCCCTTTCCCTTATGGGGTATTCCAGAGCCTGTATAGAGTCCTTGTAGGTTCCCTATCAGTAGGAGCAAACAACAGAGGCAAACCAGAGCATATCTGAGAAGCAAAGCGGCTCGTAAGCCTGATCTTTATTGAAGGAAAAATAAACTGTTGCAACAGGGTCCCCACTCACCACACACAGGAGGGAGGAGAACCCTGAACAATGGTGTGCAAGCCCTTATATAGACTTTTGAAATTGCCCACCCTGTAGCCCAAGACTACCTCCAAAAACACCATGCATACATCACAGAAAGGAGGTGGTCTACAGCAGAAATCACAGAAGGAGATGGTCTATAGCAGAAATCCTTTCTGCCAGGATACCTGATCATGGTCACTGATTGCATTACCTGGGCAGTCTAGCCATTCTTTTGTGATGGTTAATAATTTAGTTCCTAACTCCAGGTCACAGGCTCACCCTATTCATGCACAACTACACCCTTAAGAAAGGATTTGCAAGCAAAACGGCAATTGGAAAGCTTTCCCCATTTGCCTCCCTTACTGCAGAGGAATATTTAAGGTAATTGGGAGAGTCAAAATGGCTTCAGGAATGCTCTCCCACTATTTCAGACACGTGGTTCATATATTTAGATATGTGTGCATTTATGAATATTTATTCTATATTTGAGACCTTAAAATTCTCATAACAATCCCCCATTTGGGGCTTACTAGCTGCTTTGCTTCTCAAATATACTCTGGTTGGCCTCTGTTGTTTCCTCCTACTGATAGGGAACTCACTTAAGGACTCTGTGCGGGCTCTGGAATACCCCATAAGGGAAAGGGAGCAGTTTTTTATTCTATTTTTTAAAAATTTTATTAAGTTTTAACAATACACAATATAAAATAAAAAAATACAAAGACAAGAACAAAAGAGATATCAAAATACAAAATACATACTACAAAATAGGGAGCAGTTTTTTATTATAACAGTTAACAATAATTAAGCAGTTTAGAACAATGCAAGAACTTTGGAAGCTGGGTTGTATACAACTAAGTTCTTCTCAGACTACACCCACTGAAATTTAATGGGCCTACGCTAGTCATGTTAATGAACTTCAGTGGATCCACTCTAAGTAGGACTGTCATCGGATATAACCCCTAATACATTTTCAGTGATATAAGTAGTCTTTTCCATTAACAAAAGGCGTGTATGGTATTTGACCAGGGCCTTGATAAATCTCCTGGTTTTGCCAGTCTGTAATTGCAAGAAGAGTTTGTCAAATAGGGGTGGGGGGAAAATTTGATTCAGTTGACATTAGAAGACAAACCTGCCCAATTCTCAATTTTTCGCAACAGTAGGTGAACGCGAACACAGACAGCCTTCTAAAGTCACACTTCTCTGAATTTTGCAATGCAGTTCTCCAGCCAGGTGATGGGTACAAAAATGCATTTTTACTAGTCTGCATAAAAATGCATATATTTGTCAAAACAGCGTGCAAAAATAATAGGGGAAAGTGGGTGGCAAAAAAGGTGCATATTAGGCAAAGTTGCATTAAAATGTGTATATTGGCAGAAGAAATTCACACTAGATTGCTGATGAATTTTCATGAGGACTCTTTTTTCCCCCTAATCACAAGCAGATGTGGAAATGTGGTGAACTGAATTTAAGATGGGGAAAACTGGAAATGGAGACAAACCAAAACTGACTTCCTAGTGTTAACTACCTAGAAGGCCTAGTCGGCCAATCCATGGCTGGTGACCTGCATTTGGCTTGTGCCCCAAGTTTTCATAAGGACAGTGTTGGTGAGCAGGCATAGAGCCTCTTTCTACTGCATGACTATGCAGATGTGTGAGCTTTATGAAACATGGACCGCTATCACTCTCTAACCTAGTTGCTATCTATGGGCCAATACACACAAACAGCCAGCAAGAGGCTACCTTGAATTGCTTTCGTTGGCAACCACATAATTCAGGCTTAATTGACACTGAATCACCAACTTAGAGAAGGAAGTTTCCTTCCATGTCTCCTTTTGGTCCTTATCTGTTCAGGGCAAAAATAGAATTATCTGCAAACACACACCTCACATCTGGACCTAAACTCTATAAAGCCCACATTTTATTTTCATCTTATTTCATTGTTATTTTTCATTAATGTAAAATAAAAAATGCAAACAAACAAGTCAGAGTTATAGCCTCCATACTGTTTGCCCATTTTGCATTTTCCAAATACAGTGGTACCTCGCAAGACGAATGCCTCGCAAGACAAAAAACTCGCTAGACGAAAGGGTTTTTTGTTTTTTGAGCTGCTTCGCAAGACGATTTCCCCTATGGGCTTGCTTCGCAAGACGGAAACGTCTTGCAAGTTTGTTTCCTTTTTCTTAACACCGTTAATACAGTTGCGACTTGACTTCGAGGAGCAACTCATAGAACGCGGTGTGGTAGCCTTTTTTGAGGTTTTTAAAGACTTTGGTGATTTTTGAAGCTTTCCCAAAACTTTCCCGACACCGTGCTTCGCAAGACGAAAAAAATCGCAAGACGACAAAACTCGCGGAACAAATTAATTTCGTCTTGCGAGGCACCACTGTATGTAGGGAGCAGATAATGTAGAAAAATAAAAGCAGCAAAACAAACAATGAAAGCCAAATTTTGATATTTTTTGGAGGAAGAGAGGGCTCGTTCACACTTCACTTGTCCTGAAAGCACGGGTTTGGGCGGTTTTCTGCTTTCCCCAGGAAAACCTGCTCTTTACCGTTAAATCAGAGCAAACAGCAATTCCCGGAAAACCTGATTGACATTTGTTCTGATTCATCAGTAAAGAGCAGGTTTTCCCAAGTGAAAGTGGCTGGACAAGGGGAAGTATGGATGAGGCCAGGGTTTCATATGTCTGAATTCGACATAAGAAATGAAATCCCTCCAAACGGCACAGGAATTTTCTAGGTCTTCCACATTCTGTGATAATGCTCCCTAGACTTGAGGTAGCCGTTTGGAACACGTTCTTGTCTAAAGAGTTAAGAACACAGAATAGTTACAAATATGAGGTTTGCTTGTACTGACATTACATTTTCTGATTATCTTTTCAATTTTTCCTGTGCTCCTTATGTGGGGCTCTCTGCCTGATTTGTTGGACCTTCAGGTGAAGCCAACATAAACAATCCAATCAGTCAAGACAACGTAGTAGATGAAGGAGCCTTGCCAATATTGGTCCACTTACTGAAACATCATAGTTCCCTTCACATAAAGGTGGGTTTTAAGTGGTAGCCTTATTCAGTATAGAGATGAACTCCTCCAAAGCATTTCTTGAGTAGGTTTAAGTGCTGGCATCTGTCTTTCTCGGAGGACAGTGGAAAAGTGTGCCATCGGAGGAGAAGTCAAACCATTGGAGAATTACAGAGCCTCCTGTGGCTGTAGAAACATGTTTTGTTGCAGCTGGAGAAGATGAAGGCGTCTGATTGTGCTGCTGCAGATAAAGTATGGTGTTTCTTCTCTCTGCGCTCCCCCGGTAGTCATTTTTCCTCTGGTTACTGGTGGAGATATGTGACCTGTCTATCTCCAGGCACTTTGGTCATCTGCAAGGAATTCCCAGATGGTGGGGTTAATGTTGCCAGCTTTCATGTCACATTTGCAAACATCTTTGTAACGCAGAGTTGGTCTGCCAACAGGCCTGGTACCTGAAGCCAGCTCTCCATAAAGCACATCCTTGGGGATAGAACACTTTTTGACAGTGCTATTTTTCTAGAAAAAGAGGTGCCAGAACTCACCATAAACTCTCTTATAATGGCAATGGCACCCATCTGAGAAGTGCCAGAACTGAGTTCCATTGAGTTCCAGCAGGGGGGGCAGGGAAAGCCCTGATTCTTGAGTAGGTTTAAGTAGTCCTTTCAGTTCAGCACATACCATATTTTTCGCTCTATAAGATGCACCAGACCATAAGACGCACCTAGTTTTTGGAGGAGGAAAACAAGAAAAAAAAGATTCTGAATCCCAGAAGCCAGAACAGCAAGAGGGATCGCTGCGCAGCAAAAGCAGCGATCCCTCTTGCTGTTCTGGCTTCTGGGATATCTGTGCAGCCTGCATTCGCTTCATAAGATGCACACACATTTCCCCTTACTTTATAGGAGGGGAAAAGTGAGTCTTATAGAGCAAAAAATACGGTAATATAAGCTAATACATCTTTGCGCAATGCTAAAGGGCTGCAACTCAGTCGTGACAGAGCTGGTGCTTTGCATGCAAATGCTCCCTGTAGGGTTTGGAAGCACCCTTATCTGAAACCCTGGTGAGATGCTGCCAGTCTGTGTTGGCAATGAGGATCTAGATAGACCAAGGGTCTGACTTCGTATAAAGCAGCTTCTTATGTTCCTGTACAAAGAAACTAGCTGCTGGTCACAGCACATATTTGGAAACTGGCACCTAATTTGTTAGAGTTGTATGACGCTGACGTTCACAAAAGTAACATGGCTATAATAATTTTGTTTGCTGCATTCCAGTTCCTAAAGACTGGAACGAGATGTTATTGTAGACAAGGAGCTGCCAACAGCAACATCCCCATATCTGGCTTGATATCCTCACATCTTCTCTCCCCTATAATATCTAACATCTCCCCTGTGACCTCTAATCCAGTGTTTCCCAACCTTTTTTGGGCAAAGGCACACTTGTTTCATGAAAAAAATCTCGAGGCACACCACCATTACAGCCCCGTGACGTCAGCGCGCAGCGTCACGCCGGGAGGGACATGAATTGCTAGCAAATTACATAATCACCTCCTTGAGGGCTGGCTCATCTTCTCCGAAGGCAGAACCCCATTAATTAACAGCACAGACTCACACCATAGCCAAGACGAGGGGGGAAAACCTCAGTCATGCACAGTCATGCACATGTGGGGGCTAAATGAGGACGAAGACCGGGCAGAGAGCAGGGTTCAAATCACCCCACCTGGCCAGGACAATCCCTGGGTGCTCCCTTGGGCCACTCGCCTGACCCACCTCGCAGGGCTGTTGTTGCGAGGATAACACGGGGAGAACCACGCGCGCCCCCGGGAGCTCCTTGGAGGAGAAAGCGGGCGATGAATGCAATGCACGAAATATATGAAAGGCGACCAGGTTTTGCAGGTGAGGGGCCCCCGCCAGCCTCCGCTTCCAACACCCGGCGCAACGACGCCGAAGTTTCCCCCCGGGCTCGGCTCGGGGAGCAGCGCTGCTCCCCCCCCGGCTCCCCTTCGCCCTCCCGGCTCTCTCTGCCGCCCACTGGGGACCCCCTTCACCTGCCAAGTCCGGAGCGCAGGTGGAAGTTGCATGCATGCATGCAGGGCGCCGCGTTGCCATTGCATTGCACTGCACTCCATGCAATGCCTGCACGCATGCATTACCTTGCACGCCCGCCAAGGGGTCTCCCCGCAGTCCGATGCGTCCCCTCCGGCGCGGATGCAGCATTGCAAAAATAAAAACCCCCCGACGCAGCCCTACCTGGGGGGCAGCCTCCGCCTCCGCTGCTCCGCCTCCGCGGGGATCCCTGGGCTCCATCCTGCCGCCCGATCTCCGCGGGGGCGCAGGCAGGCTGCGCGGGGTATGCGCGGAAGAGCCCCTGCCCGCCCGGCCGCCGCCGCTGCGCTCATTCCATGGCCGGGAGAAGAGCGCTTCAAACAAAATGCCCGGCCCGCCAGGCCACGCTGGGAAACGTAGTTCGCGCACCCCGCGCGGGCGCGGAGCCCAAGGGCGAGGGGACTACGGATCCCGGCAGCCCCTGCGCCGGGGACGGAGGGGGAGAGGCCGGGTGCAGGGATGGAGGGACGGGTGGGCGAGCGAGTGAGTGAGTGGCAGCCGCCAAGCCTTGGCCGAGAGCCAGGAAGGGCCTCCCCGGAGGAGGAGGAGGAGGAGGAGGCGCAGAGCGGGAGGGAGGGAGGGAACCCCAGGGGTCATCTAGTGACGGCGCCCCAATCGAAAATTTGACTTTTTTAAAAAAAAAAACTTTCAATTTTTTAATTTTTCCCGCGGCACACCAGGCAACATCTCGCGGCACACTAGTGTGCCGCGGAACAGTGGTTGGGAAACACTGCTCTAATCATACAACTCAACCACTAGTGGCACCCAGTTATGTGGAGCAAGGATGGGGAGATTTGCATTTTGATGACCATGTCATGTGGCAAGTTTCACTAGAGGTTATGGGAAGGTTGTGGGGAAAGGGAGAGAATTAGGTGCTAGGGTGCTGTTTGGGGCCTTGGCTATTTGGCTGGTAAAATTGCATGGACAAGGAGGATACAATTAGGGGAAGGAGAACTATGTTTATCAGTAAATATATTTGGAAACCTCAGGGAAAGACAAAAATCTCCATTAAGCCGTGTGGAACTGTTGTGCTGTGAGGTACAGAATGAGTCCAGTTTGTTATATATTAAGTGCACATATTATAACAACTCTGGACGAGATTGTGGCTTTTTATGGTGTAAATGTCCTTGTACTGCAGCTACATGTTACTTAAAGGGATTGTTCATTGGTGACTGAGGGATAGTCAACAAGCTCTGAAGGACGTTTGGAATGGGGCTGAAAATTTGGTATTGGGCTAAAAAATAATTGAATTTAACCAATGTGTTCATTGTGGGAGGCAGTGGAAGACAGAAGTGCCTGGCGTGCTCTGGTCCATGGGGTCACGAAGAGTCGGACACGAGTAAACGACTAAACAACAAAATGTGTTCAAGATCACCTATTAAATCAGTAAAAATGTTCTTTATATGCAGTGTATATGTCTGAATCCCATTCTGAACTTTGATGTGAATAGGATAGGATATAATCTATTATATAAAACTGATATTTTCTCTCTTTTTTAAACTTCTGCTTTTCCATTCAACTGATTATTTAGGTTGAAGTTGCATATTCTTTGGCTTGCATTGTTCTAAAGAACGATAACCTGCAGAGTGTGTTGCGAGAGAAGGAAGGCTTTAGTTATTCTGACGTCCTTGGGCTCCTTTACGCACCAGAGAAGGTACTGGCTTTACTGGAGAACATCATAGTGCCCATTTAAGAGAAAAGATTAAATACGCTTCATGCTGTAATAAGGCACTGGCATTCTTTCTTTCTTTGTTTCAACTACTGTAATGTCAGTGCCTGATTACAGGAACGGATCCTTTCCCCAAAGCTGTGAGCAAATACTCCTTTCCATGTACAGATCTGCTCCCGCCATTAGAATAGAAGAGCCAGTGCACACATACAAGAGATTAAAGGGGACCTCCGAGCTCACATATGGATCAAATCAGGCTGTTTTGCAAGCACAGCATGAGAACAGTTGGCAGTTACTTGTTAATTGCACAGTTACTTGTTAATTGCACAGAATCACCTTAGAACTACACCGCAAGCTGGAGGGCCAATGAGTATATGCACCGGCCAAACGTGATGCAGCTAGGTAAATTTTAGATCCAAACTTGGGTCTCCAGCTGTACGCCAGCTCCCTCAGCCAATAAAGCGAGATGAGCGCCACAACCCCAGAGTCGGTCACGACTGGACCTAATGGTCAGGGGTCACTTTACCTTTAACATGCAGACAGCCTTCACAAGCCTCCTCATTTCAGAAGATCGCCTTCCAAGTCCTGAAGGGGAATGGGGGCAGAACTACCATGTTTGTCACCACTGTCCCTTCCCTGATGTGTAAACACAGGTACAGGATTGCCTGAAGAGCCACCGAAAAACAAACAAGTGAAACCTTATGCCGCAATAAATGTGTCGGCTTTCAAGAGTGCGCAAGATTCCATTCTTCATACTGCAACAAATTTACCCAGCCACCCTCTGGAATTTATTTTATTTTATTTTATTTTTTATTTCAAAACCAAAAAAAATTACAAACAGCAAATTCAAAATCCATATTCATTTTCTAACATAGGCCTATTACATAGATTACCTAAATTAGAATATATCTAATTGCTCTACGCTTCCCTTTGCTATATGTAAATACAACACAATTAACAAATTATATTATAAATGATATTATAGGTTCCCATATACCCCCCACTCCCCTTCACCCATGTGTGATCTCAATATTTTACTTCTTCCATCTTGTTGTGTTGTTATAATTTAATACGTGTTCAATTGATTCTATTATTATTTTCTTGCTTACCCTTGCACGTTTTACACATTCTCTATTAATATTTCCATTCCGGAACCATATTTTTTCATGTATTCCTTCACTCCATACCACTCTCTAATTATTCTCTGATTTGAGTGGCCTCTAATAACTGCCATCAATTTTGCCATTTCTACAAACTCACAGAGTTTGCTTTGCCATTCTAATAGCAATGGGATTTTCTCCCCCTTCCAGTTTTTTGCAGTCAATATTCTGGCAGCTGCTGTTGCGTAATTCCACCCTCTGGAATTTAATAATACCACATGGAAAGTGCACCCCCTAAATCTGTCCTAAAGGTTCCCCCAATTCTCTGGAGCAGGTCTGGGTAGGGTGTGGGGTGCTTGCTTGAGTGAGTCTGTGTCCCACTGCACAAGCAGAAATTCTTGCACTGACACAACTTGGTAGCTGAATACCACCCATGGTTGTGTGTGTGTGTGTGTGTGTCTTTTATGTACTTTATATTTCACAGTCAATACAATTTACTTGTTTCTCTGATTGTTTTAAGGATATCTGTTTGCGAGCAGGAAATGCTATCGCGCTTTTTGCATATAATAATCCCAGCCAGCAGTTACTGATTTTAGAGAGTGGACCAATATCTGTGTCTATATTTGAACCTTTCCTGGAATCGGAGGTAGAGACAGACAGAGCAATGGCTGCCTTTCAGGTACAAAACCAGAGATCACGCTCAGAGTTCACCCAGAATGCATAAGCACGCGTGTGCCATTTTTGAAAATGGAGTTTTCCATAAAGGACTGTTTGAATGCTATGCCTCTGTCTTCTTGCTCAAATACAAAGGACTCTGCTCAATCTACTATATGGAGAAGCAGATTTTCATCTTCTCCCTTTTGGCAGCAGCTTCTGATCCTTGTGGGTGTTCCATAAACATCTGGTTTGCCACTGTGAGAATAGGGTCCTGGAAAAGAGATGGACCGTTTTCCTCGTCTGATGTTAGTTTTCTGGTATAGCTTCCGTTTCTCAAATCTCTGGAAAAAATGATATATCTATCATTTTGAATACCTTTGAAAAGTTTTCAGGTGTCATAGGTACAACCTGACACCTGCATAGTACCCAAAAGAGCCTCATTAGACTACCTGCTACCTCCTCCCACATTTCAAGATTGTCACGATTAAATAAAGACTCCATAGTTTCTATATGAGTCAACTTTCCCCTCCTGACTCCTACTCTGTTTACCATCTAGCCTGGTGGAGAGTTTTGGAGAGCTTGAAAACTTGCAGACTATTTTGTGACCTCTTCATTGTCCTAATAAAGGTATATGTGTAATGTGGATTTTTGATTTTTTCTTAAAGGCCACCATGGCTATTTTTGCTTTTTCTGTTATCAATGACTTGTGTCAACGTAGCCTGTCCAATTGTTCCTTCAACCATTCATCTATTGTGAAGAGTCATTTTTGCCTGAGAGGTTCAAGGCATTGCTTGGGAACCTGTGATCTCAACATTTTTAAAGTTATGCCCAATGTCTCAATCTGTGCCCACTTCAAGTACTTCTGCTATTGTTACTTCATTGGTTGCAGTTTCATATTTTTAGTCTGCAGAGAAACCTATATACACTAACAAGGGCATATGTACCTAAATAAGCACAATAGCATATCTTTGTAAAATATAAAGAATATAGGAAAATTGCAATTTTTAAAGAATTGGTTTGAAATATGGAAAAAGGTGTCGTGTTTTTACTTGCAAAATGTGTACGCATGTCTTAATTTCTAGTGTAAATTCTCCCATGTATGTCTGCATATGTTTGCATCATAGACTAATAAATGCTTCTGCAAACTCAGAAGTGTGAGGGCTGAGCTTTTGTGCTTTGTCTCCATCCGCAGGTAACACAAACATATTCTCTTCCATTCCTATGATTGTGTAGCCATAAACCACATTCTCATTAAAATATGCTTGCTTTGTACTGGGACAAAAATAACAATTTTTGCTGGAAGCAGGAAATGCAGAAAAATGGGGAAAAAATGTGTGAGGCCTGATTAATATATTAATGCATTGTGTAAAAATGTTTCTTTTATTTCAGATAGTTATACTAGCCAGAATTATAGTTGATAAGGATAAAGTCAGTCTGTCTGCAAAAGGAGTTTCTATTTTGGTTGACCTGCTATGTTCGGAAAAGACAGCGACTCTGGTGTTAATAGGTAAGTAATGATGCAAAGAAAAGCACCGTTTTTCAAGGCAGCATGCTTATACAACACTGGAATAGTGCAAAATCTTAAAATAGTAGGATGTGATTGTTGATATGCCTTGTCTTGGTTTCTATTATTCTCTAGAGGCAGGTGTTTATTCTGTCAAGACTATTATTATTATTATTATTATTATTATTATTATTATTATTATTGCTATGCCACCTATCTGACTTGGTTGCCCCGGCCAACAATACAGCAAAGGTTCTTGCTTCATTTAAATTATCGTATTTTTCGCTCCATAAGATGCACCTGACCATAAGACGAACCTAGTTTTTAGAGGAGGAAAACAAGGAGAAAAAAAAGTGAACAAAAAAGTGGATGTATGGTTTTTGTGGTTCATGCTGTGGCCACAGACATGATATGTGATTTGACTGTGAGTTTGGGGTGGCCCAATGCAGAAATCCTGAGGATCCATGTGCTTTTACCTCCCCCCTCCCAGGCAGCCTCCTTTATCGCTAGAGTCCCTTATCTCCCTCCAATCACTTGCCGATCAGCTGCTCAGCGGCTTCGTTTCCACGCCCCCTTCCCTCTTTCTAAAAAAACACCCAAAAAAAACCACGATCTGCTTTTCGCCCCTGGGCAATTCGGCTCCGGGGACCACGCATTCGCTCCATAAGACGCGCAGACATTTCCCCTTACTTTTTAGGAGGAAAAAAGTGCGTCTTATGGAGCGAAAAATATGGTGATTGCACATTGGAGCACATATTTTACCTAAAGTCATAAGTGTCAATATGTTCCAAGAGTGCAGTAAAAAGAATACTGAAAAGTGTGGCTATAGAAATTGTACTGGGGTTCTTGAAATGTTTCAGAAATGGACACCTGCCTGCTGAAGTTAATTGTACCAAAAAGCTTTTTTGTATAATTTTAGCTCAATTTACTAGTACTGTAACATTTAATCTCGGTTATCTATTTTTCTATAGGGAAGCTATTGGCTAGTTTGGCTCACACAAGAGCAGGTATTCCAGAAGCAATTACATGCTTAGGAACTGTCCAGCGTCTTTGTTATCATTTATACGCAAAGGAAGAAGAGGTACAGCTATTTTATTTTTTCAGTCCCCCCCCCCATTTGATCCATTCAGTCTAACTTTCCAATGCAACTAAACTGTTGAAATATAAAACACGATGAAAATAAGCAACGTGAACTCTTTAATAGTATCAAAATATAATCACCTCCTTTTACCCTGAGATTATTAATCCAAAATGAATGCAATATACAGTATTGGTTTTTCAGTAATGCACATTGGAAGTCATATTTCGCCAATATGCATACATTAGAAGGGTGGCAGTGATGGTGGGGGAAACCCAACTTTTAAAGCCATCATTTAGTCACTCTGCGTTAATTTCATAAAAAACAAGAAATAATTAATGGGAAAGGGTGGAGGTTTTTTTTTGTATATATGCTCTCAGGGTACTTCCAGACTGTTGCTATTTTGGATTGATATTCAGTCACATAGTAGCAAATTCAGATTGCTCAATTAAAGACCATCTTTTTTGTAACACGGTTTTTTAAGAGAGATCCAGGAGAGATCATGGACTCGACAGGCTGGTTGTATTGCCGTCTTTTCCTGGAAAATTGGTGAAAACGCTGGTGTAAATACAACAACCATAAATTGTAATTAAAATATCACTGCAGCAGGAACTGTTCAATGATTAATTGTTCATTTAAAATATATCACCTCACTCAGTTGGATGGACCCTGAGGCCATCTTGGCGGAGGAGCAAGCTGGATTTAGGCAAGGCAGATCCACCATAGATCACTGTTTTGTCTTAGCACATCTTATTGACAAATACGCCAAGAAAGCCCGTGGGGTCTTATATGCAGCCTTCATTGATTTGAAGGCTGCCTTTGATTCGATTTCATGAGTAAGACTCTGGGCCAAATTGAATACATCCAGTATAGATAAAAAATTATTATTTTTGATTAATGGCCTATATAAAGATTGTGTTGTATATAAAGACTGTATTGTACATAAGATCCTCCACAAATGGCCAACTCATAGGCCCTGTACCAGCCACCAAGCAAGGCTGCATTTTAGCCCCAGCTTTTTTAAACCTATATCACCTCCCACCGCCACTTTAAGTAGAAAACAGGTACTATGGAAGGTGGACTTCCCAGACACCATGGTAGAGAATACAAGAACAGACCAGATCCAGCATGGATCACACATTCCAGGGTGTGGCGTGCAAGTCTTTTGTCGCAGTAAACAGGGATCTGGAAGGTCTGAATTCCCATCACTTTAATTGACTGAATATAATAATTGACCAAGGGTAGCAAGAAACCTACAAGGGACTCAGCTACATTAGTAAAAAAAAAAAAAAAGTTTTGAATGCATTATAAACATGCAACACCAGATGGCGCCACAGAGCAAAATAATTTCTATGCTATTTTTACATAGCGGTTTGTTTTGTCTTTAGTTATTACAATTTAATTTCTGACTTACTTATAGCATTTTTCCCACCCAAGGTCTCACCATTCTTAAGAAGAACCCTGTTGGATGTCATAGGCATCCCCAGCCAAGTTTGATAGTTAATTCTTTATTGGGAAAACATGCACTAACAGCAATTTCCATAACGCCCTAGATACAAACACACACGTGCTTCTAGGCAGCTGTTCCTGGGTCTGTGTTCTGCAGAGAAATTGTAGCAATAGTGGGACCACACACCCTCCAGGTTATGTACCCTCATCTGATGGGGTGCACCCATGCAACCTGAGGCTTCTCCTATGTGGAAGCAATCACTGTTCTTTCCTCTTTCAAGCCCCTCAGGCCTAGAAGACAGCGGGGCAGGGGGTGGCAGGGATTCGACTGGCCTGTCCCTTACCTGAACAGCCTCTTCCTTTGACTTGTCCTGCACACCCATCTCCATCTCTGACCATACACACACACACACACCTGCTCAGGCTCCTGCCTTGTAAAGGTAAAGGTACCCCTGCCCGTGTGGGCCAGTCGTGTCCGACTCTAGGGTTGTGTGCTCATCTCACTTAAAGAGGCCGGGAGCCAGCGCTGTCCGAAGACACTTCCGGGTCACGTGGCCAGCGTGACGAAGCTGCAGCTGGCGAGCCAGCACCAGCGCAGCACACGGAAACGCCGTTTACCTTCCCGCTATAAAGCGGTACCTATTTATCTACTTGCACTTAAGAGTGCTTTGGAACTGCTAGGTGGGCAGGAGCTGGGACCGAACGGCGGGAGCTCACCCTGCCGCAGGGATTTGAACCGCCGACCATACGATCGGCAAGTCCTAGGCACTGAGGTTTTACCCACAGCGCCACCCTGCAGTGCCAAACCCCATAAATCTCTGGCCCCTCTCCTGGGTCAATCCCCTGGCCTCTTTCCTCTGCCCACAAAAGTCATCCGAGGCCTGCCAGTTCCTGACACTGGATCAGGCCAAAGGCTTTTCTAGTCCACTATCCTGTTCCCACATGGGCAGGGAAGTGAAGATCTCCCAGGTGAGACAGTGGGAGTCTGGAAGCAGAAAGGAAATCTCCCAGGCAAGAGCTGGGAGGATCCACCACTTAAATTTTTTTAAAAAATTTATTAGATTTTCTAATTTAATAATCCAATCAAATCTCATTAAATATTCCAAATTATACATCTACATATCAAATAGTTCAAATATTCTGCCGAATTATAAACTTTCTGTGGCATGACAAGTTCTACTTTTGAGAGATAACTCTCCATTTTAATTTTTCTTTCTCTGTGTTTTTATTTAGATGAGTTTCTTTTATTGATTTTATATATATATATATATGCTTTAATAAAATCCTTCAGGGAAAAGACACCTGAAAGTGAGGTTCTTTTTTTCAGGTTCGTACATCTATGGCATGTGCTCTGGGATATTTAACATTCAACCGAACTGCATATCGCCATTTGCTAGTACAATGTAGGAATAAGCCCAAGTTGTTCAAGAGGCTAATACTGAACCTTAGCAAGGATGCAAGAATAAATTCAGACTTTGTGAGAGAATTTAAGAGGCAAAAAAGAGTTGGGCTTCCAGCTCTCAGGTAACAATTAGCAACCTTTCAATTATCTTATGGTTTGTTTGCTTTTTAAGGTTTTGAGTCCCTCACTTTTCACGTACTGAAAATCTTACTGATTTCTATTCAGTACCCCTTGCAAATAGCGATCAAAATATCAGTTGACTTCAGGGTAATATTGATTCCACAAATACCCCCTTTTGGGGGACAGTGGTGGAGAGGGTTTTGGTGGAGCAGCTGCAAGCATTATTGAATGACACAAATTATTGGGATCCATTTCAATCTGGGTTCAGGCATGGACACAGGACTAAGTAGCCTTGGTCCCCATGGTCTCTTTGCAGAGCAGGACAGCCAGAACACAACCTGCTTCTTGATTTCTCATGAGTTGTTGCAATTCTCTTTTAAATCCATTCAGTTTGTATTGACGCCCTTAATTATGTTTTTATGGACCCTTGTTGAGTTTGTTTTTATATTCCACCTTACTGTTATTGTTTTTTAATGACAGTGCAGCTTATAAATTCATAAATAATTTTTTTGGGGTAATCTCCAAAACCTTCAGGGAGTTTTATATTCAGTTGTATAGAGACTTGTTCCCAAATATTTTTTTTGTGTGTGAAGGGTTATTTCCTTCACAAGGTTCTCTAACTGAGAGGTATATATCAGCAATATTTGGATGTTTTAGCTTTATCTCATTGGACACCCTCGATGTTGAAGTTTTGTGAAAATCTGTTGAAGAACAACATTTTTTCCCCACAGAAATGGGGGGGGGAGCTATGCCCTGTACAGTGGTGCCTCACAAGACGAAATTAATTCGTTCCGCGAGTTTTGTCGTCTTGCGATTTTTTTCGTCTTGCGAAGCACGGTGTCGGGAAAGTTTTGGAAAAGCTTCAAAAATCACCAAAGTCTTCAAAAACCTCAAAAAAGGCTACCACACCGCGTTCTATGAGTTGCTCCTCAAAGTCAAGTCGCAACTGTATTAACGGTTTTAAGAAAAAGGAAACAAACTTGCAAGACGTTTTCATCTTGTGAAGCAAGCCCATAGGGAAAATCGTCTTGCGAAGCAACTCAAAAAACCAAAAACCCTTTCGTCTTGCGAGTTTTTTGTCTTGCAAGGCATTCGTCTTGCGAGGTACCACTGTAAAACGAAAGCATTTTTTAATTTCCCAGCACAACCACAGAAAAAATCATAAACACAACAGCGTATTCTAGTTGGTGTGAAAGGTGATTACAGTCTAGCGCTACAATTACATATCATGATATAAATAGGAAATGGCTGTTATATAACAAGCCGTGCATAAGATTTCTTCTTTTTCTCCTGAGGTTAAGGACCAGTGCCTAGATTAGGGGTGAGGAACCTGCGGCCCTCCAGATGTTGTTGGACTACAACTCCCATCATCCCTAGCTAGCAGGACCAGTGGTCAGGGATGATGGGAGTTGTAATCCAAAAACAGCTGGAGCTTCAAGTTTGGGAAACCCTGGTCTAGATCCTTAATACATTCCCCAGCAAGAAACTCATTTAAGTAAGCAAAGTTTCTGCCATCCCAGCTGTTTGGAAATGAGAGCTGAGGTTCAAAACAACCTTCCGCATTTAATTGTTTAAATGCCTATTGCTTAATTGGAACACAGATCCTTTGTTGTCCTCGCTGCTTGTCATTATATGTCAAGACTACTACTAACATTCTGCCTTTTTAATTTTCAGTTTGGAGATAAACGGAGGGCCACCTGCAGTTCCCGTACACATACGAGGTAATTTATTCAGAAATAACTCCTGTTGGCTAGACAGCTCTGCCCTTTTAGCTCAGCTATACCATATTTTTTGCTCTATAGGACACACCGGACCACAAGACGCACCTAGTTTTAAGAGGGGGAAATCAATTTTAAAAATATTAAAGAGGAAGCAAAGACAGCCAGCGGGATGGATCCCGCTCGCTGTTTTGGCTTCTTTAGCCGTGCGCAGCCCCTCCGGCCGGGAGAGGCTGCGCGCGGCTATGGCAATTCCCCCACCTCCCGCAAAAGACCACAGGAGCTGCGCACCCTTTCAGGGGCGCGCGGCTCCTGCGGGCTTTTCTACGAGGAGGGAGAAGGGACTGACTGGCCGCGTCAGTCCCTTCTCCCTCCTGGGGAAAAGCCCGCAAGAGCCACGCGGAGCTTGTGTGTGGCTCTTGGGGGCTTTTCCTGCCTGCCTCCCCCCTGCATTCGCTCCATAAGCCACACACACATTTCCCCTTACTTTTTATGGTAATATACAGTATTATGACAAATGAAGGAAGTTCTGAATTACCCATGAAGAGCAAAGTGCATGAGAAGCCGAGCATGTTAAATCTCACTGTATGTGTGGCGGAGGGCTGCTGATATCTATTAGCTCATCAAATACATAAAATAAATGTTTGATTATACCTGGACAGAAGCCAGAGAATTGAGGGGCCCATTCTGCCTTCCAGTGGCAATCCCTCACACTTCACAAGCTGTTGTTCTGGGGGGCCCTTGATCTTTAGACATTATGTGAAGGGGACAGACACATTACCTGTGTGTAGACCAGACTTCAGGTGTGTCAGATTTTCTTCTTTAGAAACACAAGTTCTACCAAACCGAAGCAGATGCAAAAAGCCATTAAAGAACTGGGTACAGTATGCTTGGGCTGCATCTCAATCCAAACAGTGTGTCTAAAGTAGTGTTTCCCAAACCTGGGTCTCCAGCTGTATTGGGGGGGACTACAACTCCCATCATCCCTAGCTAGCAAGACTAGCAGCCAGGGATGATGGGAATTGTAGTCCGAAAACAGCTGGGGACCCAAGTTTGGTCTAAAGCAAAGCAGTTATTTTTTGCAAGTGAGGGGCAGTTTTTGTAGGGCAAGGGTGCCAACTGTTCAGAGGGGGAAAGACAAACAAATGCTTTACTTACCGTATTTTTTGCACCATAACATTCACTTTTTTCCTCCTAGAAAGTAAGGGGAAATGTCTGTGCGTGTTATGGAGGAAATGCCTACGGGTGGCATGCCTACGGATTTTCCTCCTCTAAAAACTACGTGTGTGTTATGGTCGGGTGTGTGTTATAGAGCGAAAAATACGGTATGTAAGCTTAAGAATCCCTCTGTTCCGTGGGCTGTTAGGCTGCTGAACGGAAAATAATATAGTGCAATTGACTTTCGGGGTTGGTGTGTTGTGCGACAAGCACACAGAGTGCAATGAGATTGAGTGTTTGGGTGGGGGAGGTACACAGGTTGTACATTGACAATAAAGGTATTATTATTATTATTATTATTATTATTATTATTATTATTAATTATACTTGCCAGTGCATAACAAGGATGCCAACTTGAATAAAATATTGGAGGGTCCCAGGTAAGCCCTGCGCCCCACAAAACTGACCACAAGACGGGGGACACACATCATTTGAGTGGCAACGGCCATCAACCGGGTGTTGGAAAAACGCCTGGGAAGGCCACCAACTTCCCAAGACTCTTGGGTGTCTCTCCAGTGGTCCTCCCTGGCTATAAATTTCCCTCAGTCCAGAGAGACCGGTGATAAGTGACCCTTCCCTCCTGAGAGGAGCATATTCGTCTTCTGGCATATCATAGCAGAAGAAAAAATCAATCAGTAGCTCTAAACTACTTTATTTTACAGTCTATATACAGAGACTTCATCAGCATGTCTGTGCTCTCTCAGCACCAGTACAGAACAGCATCACAAACAGAAATGAAACGAACTTCCAACAGTACTCAAACAGTACTGAGACTTCCTGTCTCACGCTCTCTCAGACACTCACATGATATACACAAAACTCAGGAACTTTCTACCATATGTGGTGGGTACGTAGGAAAATACAGGTATTCTGCGAGAGTATCCATGCAGAACTGCAAAAAATGCTAAAGATCGTTTTCAATAAAAAAACCAGAGGCCTACCTCCTGGGAATAACTGATTTGGATATTCCACAAAAGAGGAAGGGCATCTTTTTATATGCGACGGAGGCAGCAAGAGTTCTGATCGCAGCAAAATGGAAGAGTAATGAAATCCCCTCTGTACAAGATTGGATCCAAAAGCTAACAGACTATGCCGAATTAGATGGTCTATCAGAAAAAATAAAGAATAAATCGAAACAGGAATTTGTTTCAAAATGGGAGGTTTTCAAAGAATATCTGAAAAATAAATATACTAGTTTAAATTCTGTTGCAGCATTCGAGGAACTTCAGTAATAGTTGCAAGGTAGATATACGAAATTAGATATATTAAGAATAAGTTTAATTGTGATAAAAGTGTGTATTGGCAATAAGTAATATGTAATCGAAATATGGAATAGACTGGAGGTTGGGTCTTTAGTGTTAAGACCAATATATGTTATATTGTTTGCTAAGAAAATTATGTGTTTATAGTAATACACACACACACAAAAAAAAAAACATAGTGCTACTGCTGGAGCAGCACAAATGGATAAAAATCCTAACACTGAGAGGGGGGAAAGTGTGACCCCCTCAAATATTCTAGGAGTCGGCTCCTCTGGTGCATAAGAAAGCAATATTTTCATTTTGCAGACAAATCCCAGACTAGTGGCGTCAAGATATACAAAACGAAGTGTCGTCCAAAGGATTCCCTCTTCTTGGTGCCCACGGTGACCCACCTAATGGGAAGGTTCAAAACACCGGAAAAGCCCCGCGTCCCAGTATCCGGCCACATTCCCTTTCCACACGCCACAACATCGGACCTCATTCAAGTTTCGAGACCGAGAATTGTCGATGTCTCTGCGCTCCTCAGCCACTTGTCGGGAAAGAAATCTTGACTTTAGTGCCTGCACAGGGGCAGCCACGGAAACAGTAGTGTCTCTGCTAATACCTTTCAGATAATTAGGGTAAATATTACTGCTCTGTCCGTAACAGATTTGCACAATGAAAGTTTGTCTATTAATAATGCAAAAAAAAAAAAATTACTGCTGTGGTAGAGAATAAAAAGGCTGGCAATTGACTGTAAGCATTCGTCTCTGAAAAGAAACTTAGGTGCAGTATTGAAGCAGAAGTGTTTTTTCATAGCCTCCAGTGTTGCCTAGAGAAACCTAAGAGATCATTCACAATACCTCTCAATGTTGGTATCTTTTATAATAATTTCATAATAATAATTTATTATTTGTACCCCGCCCATCTGGCTGGGTTTCCCCAGCCACTCTGGGCGGCTTCCACGGAGACCAAAAATACACTAAAATGTCACACATTAAAAACCTCCCTGAACAGGGCTGCCTTAAGATGTCTTCTGAATGTCAGGTAGTTGTTTATCTCTTTGACATCTGATGGGAGGGTGTTCCACAGGGTGGGTGCCACTACCGAGAAGGCCCTCTGCCTGGTTCCCTGTAGCTTTGCTTCTCGCAATGAGGGAACTGCCAGAAGGCCTTCGGCGCTGGACCTCAGCATCCGGGCAGAACGATGGGGGTGGAGACGCTCCTTCAGGTATACTGGGCCGAGGCCGTTTAGGGCTTTAAAGGTCAACACCAACACGGTGTTCAAGAGGCTGCATTTCATGTTAGAAAAATCCCAATTTTGGGAGCCGGGCTGTCTGAAGCCTTCCAGGCATGGCTAAGAAAGCGGGGTATCATTCATCGCATATCAAACCCATTTTCTCCCCAAGAAAACTCGGTTGCAGAATGCAAAATTAGATCTTTGCAGACAATGCAAGCTTCTATGCTGTGTGATTCTGGTTTACCCCAGAACATTCTGGGAAAACCAAGATCCTTCAAAGCACTGTCAAGACATTCACTCCAATTCCTAACAGATTACCGAAGCCCACAAAGCCATCTTGGGCTTTGACAATCTGCTTGGAATTGGAATGAATGTCTTGACAGTGCTTTGAAGAATCTTGGTTTTCCCAAGTATAGCTCAATAGAAGTATAGCTCATACTTGTATGTACACCAAAGGTACAGGTGACAAACGTGAACTGTGTCTTTCGTATGATGATGCTTCCAGTCTTGCCTCTGTGTTAACTCTCACATTTCAAGCAATCACGTTAAAATAAATTTTATGTCTTTTCTATACGGGCATAGTAGAAAGGATGCTGGGACATCTACTCTAATAATTCAAGTCTTCTTCATAGAAAGTATCTGTCCGTGGTATGTATTAAGGTAAGGTAAAAAGGTAAAGTACCCCTGGACGGTTAAGTCCAGTCGAAATCGACTATGGGGTCCGACGCTCATCTCCGCTTTTAGGCCGAGAGAGCCGGCGTTCGTCCGCAGACAGCTTTCCGGGTCATGTGGCCAGCATGACTAAACCACTTCTGGCGCAACGGAACACAGTGACGGAGGCCAGAGGTAAATGGCAGTATGTTTTACATCCTTCCCTTCACCTTGAAAACTGGTTTAAGCAGATGTTTTAACTTAAAATAGAAAATTACGCTGTAAATGTGCTTATTAAACTACAGTGAGGTAGTGAGGTAGCTCGGTTTCATAGGGATATATCCTATTACAGTGATTCCCCCATCTTTCTTGGTCCATTTGAAAGGGGCTGCAGGATATATTGGATGCAATATATCAACTTTCATATCAATAACCTTCAAGGCAGGTGTAACATTTCTCCCCCACTTGCAAACAGGTGCAGGCTTTGAACTGGTATTCCCATTTGGAAGGTACTAAACAAACGTACCTGTAATGATTATAGGGGTTGCTCGTGCGTAAGTTGCCGCCACTCCTGGTTAGGGTGCCTGGTTAAGCCTTTTCTGTCTGGACAGCCCTTCACTTCGTGGTTGTTTCAGTCGCTAGCAGAATCCATCAGTGGGCGTTTCTTAAACCTTTTCCAGCATAAAAGCTGTTTGACGCCCAGTCTCCTCCTACTCTCTCTGCGCGGAAGTCTTCTGTGCAGGGAGGGTGTGGGTAGTGGAGGACCCGTGCTCTCCCCGCTGGTCTCCGGCGAGGAGTCCTGGAGCCCCCTCGCCGATTCCCCCATCTGCCCCCCTTTATCCCTGGTGTTACGCTGATTTCCTTCCCCAGCTGATGAGCTGCCTCTCTCCCTGCTGGGCCCTTCTCCAGCATTGCTTGGGAGCCTTGCCTCCGCCTCTGGCTCCGATGTCAGTTCCCTGACAGTACCAAATTTGATTCTTATCCCCCAGGTGCTTAGTGTGGTTACTGAGTTACAAAGGGACTAAACCAAAGGACTTACTTCGCTGTGCCATGATCTTAAGCAAAGGGTGGTGACAGCATGCTAAAGATAAACTATACAGTAGTACCTCGGGTTAAGAACTTAATTCGTTCTGGAGGTCTGTTCTTAAGCTGCAACTGTTCTTAACCTGAAGCACCACTTTAGCTAATGGGGCCTCCTGCTGCTGCTGCGCCACCGCCGTGTGATTTCTGTCCTCATCCTGAAGCAAAGTTCTTAACCCGAGGTATTATTTCTGGGTTAGCGGAGTCTGTAACCTGAAGCGTATGTAACCTGAAGCGTATGTAACCCGAGGTATCATTGTATTAACAAACAGAGTAAAATTATAAAGAAGTTCAGAAGGGGATTTATTCCAATTCGCTTTGGTGTAGGTAGCCTCACAATCAAGAAGTCCACAATCAAGAAGAGCAATTGTATTCAAGTATGCAACCACTTGGGAAAGGAAATGGAATTATCTGTCATGCACAAACCCTTCTGCTTCTACTTCTTCTTTCCACTAGTCCTTTTGGAAACCAAAAGCCTTGTTTAACTGTCGACAACGGTCAATGTTGAAATTTACAGAACAGGATAGAACGCTTAGAAATATCTTCTTCATTTACACCTTATAAGAATGCCTATGCTGATATCAATTATCAATTATTCTTGGTTTATTTTTCATTTTGATATCCCCAGTGTAGTACTGAAAAATCTCAGCAATGGCACATTGTCATACAGAGGCTGGGGCAAATGGCATGGAGCTCCCATTGAAACGGATGGTGGCAGAATTCACTTTTCACATCTGATTTGGTCTGGCATTTTGATGGAAGCTTTTTGGACTTCTTCTGAGATATCAGTCCCAAGCAGAGCTCTAATAAATAAGAATTAAAAAAAACAACATTTAAGACACAAGCATAGGCATACCATTATAAATTCAGTATCATACAAAATAATTAGCCAGCATTATAAACCGCATACGTATTTGGCTCCTGTAGGTAATAATGAATTCTATGCTCAGTATCTCCTTTATACCATTCTTAATCTTAATTCCCATAATGAAGACTGTTGTACTATGCAAAACAATGCAGCTATAGTTTAGTATTACTACATTGTGCAGACTAACACCAAGCAGAAGTATTTGGGTTTTCTTGATCCGTATAAACAGATTTGACCTTTCGTATCTCATCTAGAATTTAAACATCTTGTTAATAAATTTTAAGTTTCCTCATAAGTCTTCGGACAATTCCTCTCATAACAGTGACGTCTCTTCATAGGATTTTTGAGTTCAGTATACTTTCTTCAGGAAAAGAATTATACATTTTCCACAAGGATAAAATTATTATTTGCCCTCACCCTTCTTTTGTTCCCAAGACAAATATCAGTAGTTCATTCTCCCCTCTTTCTCTCCTCAATCCCAAGGAGAGGAGAAGCTACACCAGAGAGATTTACTAAGTCCTGAAAGACCATATAAATAGGACAGAGAACATCCATAAGCGGAGCACTTTGTTTATTTCCTTCAGGGCAGCAGCCACGTGAGAAATGGTAAGTTGACACTATAGCTAAAGGAACGTATTTACATTTCTTTTATTTTCCCCACTCCCCCAAATTTCTATTTTGGAAGAAATTCAGTGAGAAGGGTGGCTACTTCTGTTGTTTTTTGGGAAGAACTGTCCTCCCCAGAAATATAGAGGCTCTGAAAGTACAGTTGGCAGAGCAAGAAACTTGTTGTCCAAGCCAAAAGCTATAGACAAAGTCACAGGGAATCAGACACAGCCGTTTGTGAGTGAAAAATCAGATACATGGCTGAGAGCCCGGAAGAGGGCATTGACAACAGCACATAGCTCAAATTCTGATGAAAAGCCAAGATGAATTTGGTCCTTAGGAAAGTGTAACTCAGTCTATGTTTAGATTTGGGATTGCAGCTGAGCCTAAAGAAAAAAAAGATGCCAAGCTACAGCAAAAGAAAACAACAACACGCGACTAGTATTGCTGAACGAAATGCCACTTATTCTTTCTTTTTTATATATTAATTTAAACAATTTAAGGACCGCCCACTATATAATATCAGCAGTAGGGTGTACCCCCAAATCCAGTGAGAGGAATTACGTGCTGTCTATAATATGAACCGGGTCAACACTGATATGGAAATCGTCCATAAAAAAGCACAGCGGTGAACAAACCTGTTGAAATATCTGAGCACTGTAATTAAAATTTAAAGACATTCTTTCTGTCTCTATGAAACGCCTGATGGATTCTGAGGTCCTATAACACCTTATCCAAGGACGAATAACAGAATTCAAAAAGCTCTATGTATCCATTCAACCTCCAACATGTCAATCAGTGTGGGCCAGCTGGAATTTGCCATCAATTTTTGTTCACTACAGTGATTTCCAATGGACAGGAAATCATATTCCCAAATTTTGAGAAGAACACCTGGGTAACATTAAAAACCTGAAATGGTCAGAGATTGGTGTTTTCTCTGTCAATATGTCCAATTTTATTGCCAACGATTGTGCAACATTTTCCTATTGTGCATTTCCCACACCTACACCCACCCACACCCACACACCCAATATATTATATTTTGCAAGGTTAAATACTACTGAACTGATTTGGGCTGCTATACAGCAAGGAAGAATACAGAGGTATAATCCTGGATATAAGGAACAAAGGAGAGGAACACAAAACTATGGCATGGGACTTCTGCTACTCCACTCTCTCTAGGTCTCGTAAGATTTTAAAGCACTCCACAGATAGTCTCTGTTTTTCTGGAGTGCTACAGAGATAACAGAACACAGTATATAAAACTGAGGGGAAAATATAATAAATACTACTTACTTTGGTTCGTATCTTATGCCTTCTGTGCTATATAAAACACCCAGTCCCGCACAAAGCCTTTCAATGCCATTCCTAAAGAGAGAATATTCGTGTAAAGTGTTTTTCATAAACTAGTTCATTTCCCCGCCCATTACAGTGAACTAAATGCAGTATTGTTGATGTAAGCTCAGCAAAGAGATTTCAGACAGAGATAATTTCTGCTAGCCTAAGAAGGGCCCTTGACTGGAGAAACGTGGTTTGGCCGTGCTCTTTCTTCTTCTTCTTCTTCTTCTTCTTCTTCTTCTTCTTCTTCTTCTTCTTCTTCTCCTTCGCCCAACTAAAGGTACCCCTGACCGTTAGGTCCAACCGTGGACAACTCTGGGGTTGCGCACTCATCTCGCTTTACTGGCTGAGGGAGCCGATGTTTGTCCGCAAACAGCTTCCGGGTCATGTGGCCAGCATGACTAAGCCGCTTCTGGCGAACCAGAGCAGTGCACGGAAACGCCGTTTACCTTCCCACTGGAGCAGTACCTATTTATCTACTTGCACTTCGACGTGCTTTCGAACTGCTAGGTTGACAGGAGCTGGGACAGAGCAACAGGAGCTCACCCCGTTGCAGGGATTCGAACTGCCGACCTTCTGATCGGCAAGCCCTAGGCTCTGTGGTTTAGACCACAGCGCCACCCGCGTCCTGTAAGAAAGGTATGTACCCCAAATATACAACGCCATCACATATACAAAACGTATACATTTATTGGCAACTAACTCCCATGGGGCTATATACAACTACACAGAAACTGTGTTTAGATATACCAACGAAGTGTTTTCCAATTAACTATGTTGCATTATAATTCAGAACAGAATTCCAAACAGAAGAAAAAAACACATATTTGCTTACCATGCAATCATAACACCGTTGTCAGTGCACAGTCTGGGAGGCGGACATACCAGGGCGAAATCGGTGGCATCTGTTAAAACCTGCAGAGCTTTCCGGATATACTGGTTACTTGCAACACCCCCCGAAGCCACCTGAAACCAGTGTTTGAAAGTCATGTTTATGGGAAGTCTGAGGAAGTAGGGCGGCAGGATTATGCTTATAGCAACCTGGCTCACCTTGCTGGCAGTAATCCCTGCACAGGGCAGAAACGTGGCCTCTCCCCCTCTGCCATTTTGAAATTCATATAAAGATATCTGAGTAGGCACAATTAGGTATTACATACAATGGGTGTGGCAAAGCCATAGCCCCCCATGACATGTTGACTTTCCCCAAGTACATGCAAAGTCTTGTGCTCTTGGATTCAGTTTTTATTTTATTTCCTTCGTGTTAGTTAATAATATTTGTTACTAATTTGTGTCTCTCTGTTGATCAGGTCACCACTTCCTGGACCTAAAGGTGCAAGCGATTAATACAACTAAGCTGCTGGCCACATTGTTGGAGCTTAGGATGAGTTAACTGTGCAACAGACACGTTGGGATTTCATTCCTCCCCACTGCTGATGTGTGATTGTTTTCATCACATGTCTGTGTTGACATTCCACACTGTTGGAGTCATGAGAAGGGAAGTTCAGTTACACTGTTCCGTTATGTTCTGCTTTTGCATTTTCTGTTGTCTCTCGGACGAGAAGGAGAGAGGAGCCTTGATTTCTTTGTTCTGCAACACTTGATCTTGTACATAATAAATTAGCTCAGTATTCTACACCTCAAGTCCAGCTTCTGCTTTGAACTCTGCTATGTTTGTGTGTGCATATATCTTCAGATATATGTCAGGACAGAAGAGTGATGAATCATCCCAAGGGGCGCTTCGGAGGGAAAGACACAGTTCCCTGACAACACACTGAAGAAGTGTGCATGCGTATGAAAGCTCATACCAATAATGAACTTAGTTGGTCTCTAAGGTGCTACTGGAAGGAATTTTTAAATTTTGTTTTGACACTTACCAAAGTTGCCTTCCTCTGTGGCAAGATACCCTTCCTTCTACAGAAATGAATGGCTCGGTGCGTTCGAGCGACAATATGAGCAGTTACCGTGTGCTGGACTGCTGCAGCAAGGTCTGGTATGCAGGACAGGAGTTGTCCTTCCTGACGCCCTGCAGAAATCATGATCAAATAGGTTTCCCAAGGCTATGTGAAGCTCTCAGGCGCAATTTGTATCCATCCTATTTTGGTAAATACCTTCCTCCTTTTCTTTTTCTGCGATCGCTCTAGTGACCTGGGACTGAAGTCCAGCAAAGGAAAAGTTGCAGTTGTGATGCTGCTCCATGGGGACTTTGAATTCATAACGCCGCCTATTTCCCTGCTGAGCCAAACGTTCTATCGCTTTTCCACCGCTCAGGCCAGAGCACTCTGGGTGCTTTCGTAAAGAAAGCCTTCTGGCTACCTAAACAATCCAAATGGAAGCAGAAATTAAAGAAATGTGCACATATATTTTAAAAGTCACTGGAAAAGCCAAATGAGCACAAGGAATAGCTTTATGATTCTGAAGGACCCAAGTCACACCTCAAATCCTTGTTGTTATGTGCTAAGGCTTGAGACTGAGCCAGCCGCATGACAGCCACATCATTATGGTTTTATCCCAATTAGCTAAATAATCACCACGTGGGACAACTGCACAGGCCTTTCCTCATTGGCCCTGTCCCGTGGGCTATTCTGCCAACAGAGATTCAGCAGGGGCCTTCTGTGCCAACTTTTAAACGCCTGCTGGAAACTTATCTATTCCACCAGGCCTATGCAGGCGATTAAGAATACTCAATCAAACTCAATCTGTTCCTGTAGTCCATTCAACTCCTGAAACGGTTCGAAAACCAAGGCGTGGCTTCCGATTGGCTGCAGGAGCTTCCAGCACTCAAGCAGAAGCCGTGGAAGCCACGTCAGATGTTTGGCTTCTGAAAAATGTTCACAAACTGGAACACTTCCGAGTTTACAGTGTTCGGGAGCCAAGCCATTCGAGTACCAAGGTACCACATCCTTCCACAATGGTTAATTGATGTCTGTTTTTAACTTTATAGCTGTATTGTATTGTATTGTGTTGTGTTGTGTTGCTATGTGTTTTTATTGCTGTAAACTGCTTTGATAGATATATATTTATGATATAAGGTAAAGGTAAAGGAACCCCTGACCATTAGGTCCAGTCGTGACCGACTCTGGGGTTGTGGCGCTCATCTCGCTTTATTGGCCAAGGGAGCCGGCGTACAGCTTCCGGGTCATGTGGTCAGCATGACTAAGCCGCTTCTGGCGAACCAGAGCAGCGCACAGAAACGCCGTTTACCTTCCCGCTGGAGCGGTACCTATTTATCTACTTGCACTTTGACGTGCTTTCGAACTGCTAGGTTGGCAGGAGCAGGGACCGAGCAATGGGAGCTCACCCCGTCACGGGGATTCAAACCACTGACCTTCTGATCGGTAAGTCCTAGGCTCTGTGGTTTAACCCACAGCGCCACCCACGTCCCTATTTATGATATAGCAGCATACAAATGTTATAATAAATAAACACTAATTAAAAGGATTACCTTATCCAACATGTCCCCAGGTGCAATGTCCAATGTCTGTCCAAGGAGAAGGAAATCTGAAACTCCTTGTGCTACCGCTAGTATACAGTGACCCCCAGAGAGCAAAAGTACCAGGAACGGGAAGTCCACACGATTGGTCAACCTAACGGTAAGAGCGTGCGCCTCCATATGATGGATGGGAATGAAAGGCTTCTTGCATTTCTCCACCAGTTCCAGACTATAGGCCAACCCAACTCCGAGGCTCAAAGCAAGTCCTGGCTTCACGGTTGTTGCAATGGCTGAGAGTCCATCTGCGCTAACTCTGCTGATGGCAAGTGCTTCTTGCACTACTCTTGCAATGTTTTCTTGGTGAAGCTGTTGTGCCACCGAAGGAATAATTCCACCTGTTCTGATGAGAAACAAACATGAACATGATGCTTACGTGAAAGGATAAGAAAGGGGGATTTATATCTAGATGTTAGGATAGAGATGATAAGGAAAACAGGAAGACACAGTGAGAGATAAAGGAGGTGCTTTGGGATTGGTGCTAGTCAATGTCTTGTAGTTGTTGTTTTAGTGTTTATAGTATTAACTTGTAAGATATGGATTTTGTTGTTGTTGTTTTTTGTTGTTGCTTTCTTTAGTTTTCAAATGTTGGTTTTTGTGTTGTGTATTGTTATTTTTCGATATTTTTCGTGTTGTTGTTGTGTGGAAAATACTAATAAAATTTATTTATTCTTTTAAAAAAGTACATGATGCTTACGTTAAATCTGTTAAACGCAGAAGTTGATGTTCTGGCTAGTCAGCACTTCTTTCTTTTTTTGGCAACCTGCAGGTCTGGCTTCCAACACAGCTGTAGTAGCAACACGAGAGATCAATTGTGTGTGTGTGTGTGTGTGTGTTTTTTTTTAAGAAATCAAAGAGATCTACCTTTCTGGGTTTTCCCCCAGACTTTAAGGAGTTTTCTGACACCACTGATCTTGGATTGTTGATACTGTGGCAGCGATCTAGATGCACTTACAGATACTGTGGCGTGACACGTGATGACAAAATAACAACATGATATTCAACGTACGTAGTGCATGGAAGTGAGAGCTGGACCATAAAGAAGGCTGACCACCGAAGAATGGATGCTTTTGAATTATGGCGCTGGAGGAGACTCTTGAGAGTCCCATGGACTGCAAGAAGATCAAACCTATCCATTCTTAAGGAAATCAGCCCTGAGTGCTCACTGGAAGGACAGATCCTGAAGCTGGGGCTCCAATACTTTGGCCACCTCATGAGAAGAGAAGACTCCCTGGAAAAGACCCTGACATTGGGAAAGATGGAGGGCACAAGGTGAAGGGGATGACAGAGGACGAGATGGTTGGACAGTTTTCTCAAAGCTACCAGCATGAGTTTGACCAAACTGCGGGAGGCAGTGGAAGACAGGAGTGCCTGGCATGTTCTGGTCCATGGGGTCACGAAGAGTCGGACACAACTAAACGACTAAACAACCAAGTACCTAAAACTATGTTTTCACCAATGGTAAGAATTACTTACTTCAGATGAACCGCGCTTTGAGAATGCAGGGCTTCTCCTAAAATGTTGCCAGCTTCATCCACCACAGCTGCGGCTGTATCATCGCAGCTAGTTTCGATACCCAGAACTATTTTGGTAGAAAAGCATTTGCCACGGCAAACAGAAACTCTTCTTAAACAATAGATCCAGCAAGGTTCAGGAGGTTTTGAAATTGCTCCTCCAAAACCGCTCACTGCGAAAGATTTCTGTAGACAGGCATACCTACAAAGAAACTGTACAATAACAGAATTTAGAATTTAACATCTTGTAGTCACTACTGTGCCCAGGCTCTCTATTCCCACCCTACAGGTGATTAGTTCTGGCATAACTTATGAGGGAAGGGAGTGCCTCAGTTGACTTTTCAGATGATTTTCCAAGTGAAACTAATTGTTTTTTCCCCTGTTCTCAGTGGGACGTCTTGACTGAGCTGACATTTAACCCCCGATCACCAGAACTGAGATCCTACATTTTGTTCCCTATGGACTACAAGCTATGGTTCAATGTGAACACTCAACATCCTGGAACACACTGTTCAAAAATTCCCATGGTGCTCGTCTGCTGTTTCTGCTGTTCCCATACCACTGATGAAACAAGCCAGGATCCGGCCTGTTGTGTTGTTCAAACCTGGGCTGCTGTGGACTGTTTTCCCCAAACCAACCATGAGTGGAAATCAAGGTTTGTTCTTAGATTACTGCTTGTTGTTTGTTTGGGGGAAAGCAATCGTGAGCCCTTTGAAGACGTTATGATAAGCCAAGCTCAGGGTTGTTTCATACACGTTGTCAGTGCTTTTCTTCTAGGAAAAAATGGTACTGCATACCTTTGAGAAAACCCCAGGGGTGAAAAACACTGCATGGTGTGGCAACAGCTGGAGCAGGGGACGTATACCCTGGGAATTTTTGAGCATGCTACATGTTCACATTAAAACATAGTTTAAATTTGTTTAATGCAATTTAACAATACAGGCCCTCCCCCCACTATTGTTTGTATACGTATATGTGATATACACCCACACATGTTATTTAATGCATATAGGCTTGAACAAATTCTGTTCTCTAAGCATCAAGCAACATGACAATACTTTTGCCAAGGTTTATCTATTTATTCAAAAACAAAGGCAGCCATGTTGGCCGACAAAAAAGAATAAAAAATTCACATTAATAAAGATGTTGACCTAATTATCTCCCTCCCATATGGATTTGAAAACCTTTGGTGTGGGGGGTAAGAAATTGGTAAGCCGTAATGAAGGAGGTGAGGACAGGTGACCCCACTTGGCCCGAAGTCGTCGTCCCCCAACCAGGCCTCAAAACTGTCCAAAATTCCTTTTGTCTTCTAAAAATCCAAAACAGCTTTTCTCTGCTCTTCTCTGCTTTTCTCACAAGATGCTGTGGCAAGGGCAAACCGTTATTTTTTATCAGTACAAGAAGGCTTCAAAAAGCTAATGAATAGGCTCTGTTCAGAGCAGGCCTGAGAACTGACTTTTATCTCACTCTAGTTGCAACATCTTTGGACATGCTGAAACACTCTCATTCCCCTTTCCTGGGAAGGGTGCCAAGAGTCCACAATAGTCCCAAGACAGCGTTCTGTTCATGCTCAGAGGAAACACATCATGGGCAGGACTCCTAAGGGAGGAGAAAGGGGAGGGAACTGGAAGGGGAGGGAACTCTGTGCATATGACTGTGAACTCATGCATGCTTTTTGTGAGTTATCACACTTGCTCCTTCTACCAGTTCATGGATGGTAGAAATAAAGCTTTTTCTCCGAAACTATTCCTTGAGTGTCTGTTGACTCCCATTTTCCCTTTCCCGGGCGCAATATTTTTCCCACCCGAGGGCAAAGCCTCATAAGGCTACAGTATAATTCTCTTTATCAAAGCTGGGGTCCCAAATAAGAGCTAGATGATTATTTAAAACAAATTTAAACTGCAATACATCTTGGGGTATTTCAAAAACCCAGTGGATTCACACAATTACTCATTTGTTGGGAAAGATTCAGGTGTCTTTAACGTTTCTGGAATATCAGTTTCCTTGCACTCAGCAGTGCACTATTTTTCACTACTGCAATGCGCTCTACGTGGGGCTACCTTTGAAGGTGACTCGGAAACTACAGCTAATCCAGAATGCGGCAGCTAGACTGGTGACTGGGGGCGGCCGCCGAGACCACATAACACCGGTCTTGAAAGACCTACATTGGCTCCCAGTACGTTTCCGAGCACAATTCAAAGTGCTGGTGTTGACCTTTAAAGCCCTAAACGGCCTCGGCCCAGTATACCTGAAGGAGCGTCTCCACCCCCATCGTTCTGCCCGGACGCTGAGGTCCAGCGCCGAGGGCCTTCTGGCGGTTCCCTCATTGCGAGAAGCAAAGCTACAGGGAACCAGGCAGAGGGCCTTCTCGGTAGTGGCGCCCGCCCTGTGGAACGCCCTCCCATCAGATGTCAAAACGATAAACAACTACCTGACATTCAGAAGACATCTTAAGGCAGCCCTGTTCAGGGAAGTTTTTAATGTATGATATTTTAGTGTTTTTTGGTTTCTATGGAAGCCGCCCAGAGTGGCTGGGGAAACCCAACCAGATGGGCGGGGTACAAATAATAAATTATTATTATTATTATTCTACCGGGTCAGAAGCAATCCTCCTTCCTCCTAGCACAGACATGTCCAAAGTCCATTTCAGGGGCCTAATCTGGCCTCCGTGGCAGTATATGTCCTGGGGTAAAAGCCTTAAAAAAGCTCAAAAGCTCAACAACTTTGGGGTTAAATCCTAAATCCTAAGAACCTGGGGTAAAATCCTTTAAAAAGCTCAACAACTTTGGTCGGCCCTCACGCATGTTCACTTCATCAAACCTGGCCCTCTTTGAAAAAAGTTTGGGCACCCCTGTCCTTGCACATTAATTGATTTTGAGGAATCTGTCACAGGCCTTTCATAAGCAGCACAAAGCAAACATATCCATTCTCTTGCGGTTTTGCAAACTTTATAGCTGTATAATTTTAACAGGTTTTTTTAATGTCTTGGCTATCTGTATAACTTGTTGATGTATGCTGGATTAAGGGCAGCCTGAGGCTAGTGAACTATGAATAAATGTCATCAAACTATTTGGAAAACACCAATACTGTCTAGAATGACAGTCATGCCGAAGGTCAAACACTGAAAGAAGAAAACAAAACACATTCTGAGGTAATGTAATGGGCTAGACATCTGGAAGCAAAGAAAGTGATCAATCAGATATATATATATATACACACACACACATACACACACAGAGAGAGTGAGTGAGGGAGAGAGAGAGAGTGTATGGGGGATGATTTTACCTGTGTCAAAAACATTGTGTTGAAAGGGTGTTCTTTCTTTATCAATTCAGGCGTCACATTTCACAGTTTCCAAAGACACACGGTTTGAATAAATCTGGAATAAATAGAAATCATGTTTTGGTTTAATAACAACAACAACAACAACAACATTAATAAGCCAAGATAAAAAGTAGGCCTTTGGGTAATGCTACGTGTTTTGGGATTGGCTGCAGCTCTTTGCTCCTTCTCTCTTTCCGCAAGCCAGCAAATATCTGCCAGCAAACGATGAAGTCTTTGATTAACTATAGTTTCCTGTTTCGTCTGAACTGGGAAACTGTGGCTAATTATTTCAGAAACAAGACAGGATCTCAAACAATGGTTTGAAGCTGTCTTAATACCATGGCTTGTTCCAAAGCCATTGACCAATTTTTCAACAAGCCAAGATTCTGGGTTTGTTTGTTGGCTTGTGCAAAGGGAAAAGCACATGAACAGGCACGAGGCCCTGAATTCCTTGTGCTATTGTGTAGTACAATGCTAGGGGCTAACAGACAGAAGGGGAGGTTTCTGCTGGGGTTTTTCTTCTGCTGCGTCTTTTACTGTAGTTAAGCATAGGGCTATTTTCACAACAACCTTCTCTGCCCACGGCAGGTGTCAGTTATGGATAACAGGTGTTTATGAAACATAAAGTAGCTGTGTGAGTGTGGGACGTGGGTGGCGCTGTGGCCTAAACCACTGAGCCTTTTGGGCTTGCCAATCAGAAGGTTGGTGGTTCGAATTCCCACGACAGGGTGAGCTCCCGTTGCTCGGTCCCAATTCCTGCCAACATAGCAGTTCGGAAGCACACCAAAAAAAGTGCAAGTAGATAAATAGGTAGCACTCTGGCGGGAAGGTAAACAGCGTTTCCATGCGCTGTTTCGGTGTTCCGTTGCGCCAGAAGCGGCTTAGTCATGCTGGCCACATGACCTGAAAAAACTGTCTGCAGACAAACGCCGGCTCCCTCAGCCTGTAAAGCGAGATGAGCACCGCAACCCCAGAGTTGTTCGCAACTGGACTTAACCGTCAGGGGTCCTTTACCTTTACCTTTTTAAAGCATAGGGCTCATTTGCACAACAACCTTCTCTGCCCATGGCAGGCATCAGTTACGGGTAACTGCTGTTTATGCAACATAAAGTAGCTGTGTGCGTGTGGATGATACACAGAGAACTGAAAACAGTTTGATTCTTGGAATGCTGCAAACAAGAAGTGTGTGGCAAAAGCTGGACAGTGGTGAATTCTGTGCATTTCTTCAGGATTCATGTGACCAGGGTATTCAGGTGTAGCTGGAAGTCAGTATCAATTGCCCCAAAAGTGGGAGAATAGTGAAACTGGATATTTGAGTCTTCAGCCACCTTCATTTTATGAATAAAGACTATGCCAATACTAACCAAGCCCTGTTTGTTGTTTCCAAAGAATCCTCAAGATTTGAGAAAGCTAAGCGTTATGGATGGCTTCGTACGCCAAAACTAAGAGAGAGAGATATGCTTTTGAAAGCTTTCAAACACTGAGAAATCTGTTGCGGACAACAAATAATTGGATTAAAGGATTTGGGTAATTGGATAAAAGGATTAAATAATTGGACAAAACTCTGTTGGCAGGTTAAAGAAGGGAACACAGGTGAATGAAACGTGAGCATCTGCGTAAATCTTTTTTAGGGATTTTCCTTCATCGCTTCTCAATAAATAATGAAAAGCTTCTAAACCTTCAGCAGTGCATCATGAACCTTACTCTTGGCTGATTTGGAGAGTCAGAAAGGCACTCAGAGAGAGGGTCCCCAGGGCCAAACTTCTGTATAGAGCATCTCAACAAATAACACTGTGCTCTGGCAGAGCTCCCATTCATTTAAGAAAGGCTTATGCAGGAGAGCTCAGAGCTACCAGAGGCAATTTCTGCAGAGACTTCTGGTAGGTCTCTGAGTGATTTGCAGGCTATTGGAAAGAGCTTTTGGCTCTCAATTGTCTTAACAACAGCAGCAGCTAAAAAGCTCCCTCCTCTTCCACTCCACGCCAAATTAGATTGTTCAAACAGGAATCTTGAAGGAAAGCCAGGAATGGATTTTTCATGTGAAAGGACTTGTGAACTTGGAGGTTTGAAAACCGAAAAATTTACTTCTGGTGTTCAAAAACCAAAATGTTCATCAATGGAGATGTTTGAAAACCGAGGTTGTTGTTTAGTCGTGTCTGACTCTTCGTGACCCCCTGGACCTGAGCACGCCAGGCACTCCTGTCTTCCACTGCCTCCCGCAGCTTGGTCAAACTCATGTTGGTAGCTTCGAGAACACTGTCCAACCATCTCGTCCTCTGTCGTCCCCTTCTCCTTGTGCCCTCCATCTTTCCCAACATCAGGGTCTTTACCAGGGAGTCTTCTCTGTCCTTCAAGCTACACCTGCTTAAATTCCTTCTTCCATATAGCTATTCAAGGTACAACAGCCGTGTGTCCCCTACATCTGGCTGCTATATAATTTCATTTCCCCCTGTAGGCTTAAACTTACTGCAGTTTTGCTAAAAGCAAACTACATCCATAAACAGTGATTTATACAATCTGATGTTTCAAAACAACCCCTCCAAAAGTCGATTTTGTGTGTTAAAAATCGTTTTAAAAGCTTGTGGCGTAAGAATTCTTTATAGTTTTTGCTCTTATCACTTGTGTCTAAAAATGTGCTACTCTTTTCCTTCATCCTTTAAGCAATATAGAAGACAGCAAAACACTAAAGTATGCAGTAGATAGAACATCAAGGCCTCTGTCTCCTGCTTAAGGTTTGATGTAGGGTTATATGAAACTCAGGTTACATATTTGTAATCTGTCATAAATAAGCCAAATAAAAAAATATCAGCATACATTTAGTACTATTCCCTAGAAATTGCTATTAAAATTTGGGCTGCCCTTGTAGAATGCTTAGAAGTTTCAACAGAGGCAGAATACCGGAATGTTTAACTGCCTACTGCTAGGTAGAATCATATTACGCCAATTCTGAAATATCTTTTGCTTCCCACCCTAATTCAAGGGGCTGGTGCTGACCTTTAAAGCCATAAAAGTCTTAGAACCCAAATAACTAAAGGAGTGCCTCTTCCTAAACCACCTGTCCATTTCTTAAGGGGAGGATGTTTTCTTTGTCCTGTTGTCAGGGGAAATTCATCATGCAGCAACAATGTCATGGTGTTCCATTTGTGGAATGGAGAATGACTGGTGCCAACATTACCATCTGGGTTAAAAGGTTATTTGACCAAGCATTTGAAAGTTCAAAACCTGTTTCTTATTTAGTTTCTTCTGTTTGTTTTTATATGCCTCTGTTTATTCCTGATGACTTTTTTCAGCATGACTCATTTATTCCATGCCTTTTGTCTTCTGCCCGGGTGTGTAGATGAAGAGCAGTTTAAAAATATTTGCCATAAACATTTTTATTTATTATTATTAAACAATCCTGAGGATGTTTTCCTTTAGAAACTGTGCACCCACCACTGAGCTGCAAGGCTTCTGCTCAATGTTTGAAACTCCCATTGTTCTAGGCACATTTTGCAATGGGGAATTTCATTAGCGCAAGCAGTTTCTGAGCTCTGGGCGCAATATTGTGCCTAAGGTTTCAGATTAAAACTGCAGAGTGGAAGGAAAGGAGGACCTTTTTCTGCCTCCCCACTTACAGCTACTCTCTGAAATCTGGAGAAGAGACCCTCTTAAGAATATTAGGGGGGTGGGCAGGAGAAGGACTAGACCATGTGAAAAATGAACATAATATTTTAGCTGCAGTTCATTCCTTTTCAGCTTTGTATCCTTGTTATTAAAAAAGCTCGCCTGTACATTTCGTTGTGGCGCCCACAACCCAGGTTTAAGGTGCCATTTAGCTCCTAGTTTTCATATCTCAGTTTCTAACACTGCTTCTGCTGGGGAAAGCATCCAATTTATCAGCACTCAAATCAAATCGCAAATGATATGCCTGAGGTCGCAAATTGTACCCATGACTTAATGATATACACAAAGTCACGCAGAAAAGTGTCTTATGCCAAACTATTGCACAGCCTTGCATGCTCTTCCCAGCATCTTCACCTGATTGATATCTGTCTGTTAAATCAGAGATGCTAGGGAACTGGACAAGGCACAAGGCCCAGGGCTAGCACCTGGCACAGAGAGGCAAATTCGGAAACCAGTTTCTCCTATCTCCTTTTAGGTATTTCACGTTTTGTGACTTTCTGTTTTGTGGTTGGCGAACCCTAAGCAAATAACATTAGCATTCGTACAAGGTATATTGCAAACCACACTGGGATTGTAGGACAATCTGCGTTTTCCTTTTTGTCTTTCTATGCACATCTTAGAATTGCTGCTCCCAAGTATGCACGCACAAAGAAGCAACTTTAAATAATTTTGATTTAGGCACTGAATCGTTGCCATAACCTCGCCCCTTTCTTTCTGCATTTGGTTTTGGCGGCTCCGTCCACAAAGATCATAGAACTGCAGAGCTGGGTGGGAACCCAGCGGGTCATCTAGTCCAACCTTCTTGCAATGCAGGAAACTCAGTCTGAAGAAGTGTGCATGCACACGAAAGCTCATACCAGTAACAAACTTAGTTGGTCTCTAAGGTGCTACTGGAAGGATTTTTTTCTTATTTTGAAGCATCCATGACAGGTAACCCCCAAATTAAACAAGGTCCCTGCAGAGAAGGTCCCCCACCCCTTCCCTTAATCTAAAAATAACCTCTCCTTTTCCCCAGGACGGCAGTTACCTTCCACTCGCTACCCGCCAACCGGGTACTGTATGTGTCTACGAACGGGCAACAAACAGCCTCTCCCCCATTCAAGGGCGTGCAAAGAGGGGTAGGTTGAAAGCCCCCGAAGGGGTTAAACTGGCGCAATGACGCTTGGGACGGCCTTCCCCGCCCCCCATCGCGCGTTCGGTGGGACCACGTGAGCGAGGGTAAACCAATCGAATTGGCAGGAGAGGCGGACGCCTGCAACAATCACGTCGCTGCAGACGAGCGAAAGGGTAGAGCAGCGAGCGCCCCTCGATTTCCGGGTCACTTTTTGAACCCTCCATTTTGGAGGGCATGGGGTCTGCTAGAGTTAGGGTTATTCTTTGTTTTCTGTGCTGTATTTTGCATGCATGGCGCTTTTTTCTTTTGGTAGGGAATCAAACAGGGAATTAAAAAGGGGGAAAACATTTTCCCCACGCTTGCTTTCTATAATGAGGGCTTTTCCCACGATCATGCAAATTTTATAGTAGATGGTCCTAACTGCATAATAACATTGGCCCTAATTTTATTTTATTTTGTAATCAAAAAATGGGGTACAGTTTTGGGGCAGCCAAAAATGCACACCATAATAGGCAAACCTTTGACTTCTTCAGGGCTTTTAATCAGACTATGGCAAACAAAATCATGGACCGAGGGGGGGGGGAATTATTGGGTTGAAGAATTCTGGGGAACTTGGACCCTCATGTGACATTTTAATAGGTTGGGGCAGCCGCCGGACCTGAAAGAAAACTTCCCTTTTCTACAAAATAGGAACTACGCCTTCCTTTGCCCTCTGCTTCACCCCACTCCCACAGCCATGACATTAAAAAAACAAAAGCCTATGAGGTGACCTAACATCTTTTGGAACAAAAGAGTCCATCAAGCAGCAGTCAGGAACCCATGAATCAGAATGGTTCTGTTCTTAATCATGATGTGCAAGTCTGTAGTGTGGAGTGGTATATGCTGCTTTCTAAAATAATTCAGAGATATTCCTGGTCTCAATGCAAGCTTTGTCCTGTCCCTTTCACTCACCAAATCTTTGCCCAACAGTAAACATTGGACTTCTTGTTGTTTAGTCGTGTCCAACTCTTCGTGACCCCATGGACCAGAGCACGCCAGGCACTCCTGTCTTCCACTGCCTCCCGCAGTTTGGTCAAAACATTGGACTAGATGAGCCTTGAATGAGCAGACTCTTATATTACATTCACATGCATTGCAGGGGACTGATCGCTTCCAACCCTATGATTTGATGCTTCTATCTGTCCTTATTAAAACCTTTCCCCACCTTTAGGCTGCATACATGCCATACACTTCAAGCAAGTTTTATTATGCTTTTATATGTGCTGGAAGCCGCCCAGAGTGGCTGGGGAAACCCCGTCAGATGGGCAGGGTATAAATGATAATTATTAAATTGTTATGAGCACACACACACACCCATAGAAGCCTGTGAAATGTCCAACATCCTTAATGAACCAGTTACCAGGATGGTTGGAGGTAAGTGATGTGCTTGCAATGTATGGTGGCTTTGCAGTTAGTCTGGATTTGCAGAGCTGTTATCTTTTCCTGAGGAATATTATTTAAGAGGGGGAAAGAAGCTAAATGAGGCTGTTACATGATTTCCCCCCCTCCCATATTGCATGTACACCCTGTTATAGGAATTATAAGGTCTCATATATATATAAATCGCGGGTGGTGCTGTGGGTAAAAGCCTCAGCGCCTAGGGCTTGCCGATTGAAAGGTCGGCGGTTCGAATCCCCGCGGCGCTCCCGTTGTTCGGTCCCAGCACCTGCCAACCTAGCAGTTCGAAAGCACCCCCGGGTGCAAGTAGATAAATAGGGACCGCTTACTAGCGGGAAGGTAAACGGCATTTCCGTGTGCGGCTCTGGCTCGCCAGAGCAGCGATGTCACGCTGGCCACGTGACCCGGAAGTGTCTCAGGACAGCGCTGGCCCCCGGCCTCTTGAGTGAGATGGGCGCACAACCCCAGAGTCTGGCAAGGGGTACCTTTACCTTTATCTTTATATATATAAATCGTATGTTCATAAATGTACAAGGCAAACACATACATAAGTATATAAACCACATGTCTGAAATAGTACAGGAGAGCAATCCTGAAACCATGTTGACTCTCCCAAACTGACCTCAAATATTTCTCTGTAAGGAGGAAGGAAATGGGAAAGCCTGTCCATTGTCAATTGCTTACTGTCTTAAGGATGTATTTGTGCATGAATAGGGTGAACCTGTGACCTGGATTCAGGAACTAAGTATTTAGCATCTCAAAAGGAATGGCCAGGCTGCCCAGGTAGAGGAATCAGTGGCTATTACCAGGTATCCTGACAAAACAGGAATTTTGTTGGAGACCGCCTCCTTCTGTGATGTACAGTGGTACCTCGGGTTAAGAACTTAATTCGGTCTGGAGGTCTGTTCTTAACCTGAAACTGTTCTTAACCTGAAACACCACTTTAGATAATGGGGCCTCACTGCCGCCACACCGCCGGAGCACGATTCTGTTCTCATCCTGAAGCAAAGTTCTTAACCTGAGGTAATATTTTTGGGTTAGCGGAGTCTGTAACCTGAAGCGTATGTAACCCGAGGTACCACTGTATGTATGATGTTTTGGGGTGGCGGTCTTGAGCTACAGGGTGGGCAATTTCAAGTGTCTATATAAGGGCTTGTGCACCATTGTTCTGGGTCCCTCCTGCCCTCTGCGGGTGGTAGTGAGCGTAGGGATGCGGGTGGCGCTGTGGTCTAAACCACTGAGCCTCTTGGACTTGCCGATCAGAAGGTTGGCAGTTCGAATCCCCGCGACCAAGTGAGCTCCCTTCGCTCTGTCCCAGCTCCTGCCAACCTAACAGTTCGAAAGCATGCCAGTGCAAGTGGATAAATAGGTACCGCTGCAGCAGGAAGGTAAACGGCGTTTCTGTGCACTCTGGTTTCCGTCACGGTGTCCCGTTGCGCCAGAAGCAGTTTAGTCATGCTAGCCACATGACCCGGAAAGCTGTCTGCAGACAAACATCGGCTCCCTCAGCCTGAAAGTGAGATGGGCGCCGCAACCCCATAGTCGCCTTTGACTGGACTTAACCGTCCAGGGGTCCTTTACTTTTTTATCTGGTAGTGAGCACCCTGTTGCAACAGTTAATAAAGATCAGGCTTACTAGCTGCCTTGCTTCTCAATATTCTCTGGTTGGCTTCTGTTATTTTCTCCTTCCGATAAGCGACCTACTTAAGGACTCCATACAGGCTCTTGGATACCCCATAAGGGAAAAGGAGCAGTATTTTCTTATAACAACCCAAATTTCAGTTTTTTAGTACCTACTTTTTCCATTACAGAAAAACAATATGCATATTCAGAAAACACACACCGATACAGTATCAGAGCAAAAGCTGACTGAAAGGGATTAAGCCACAGCAGTGCAAGAAACTTCAAGAGTTTATGGATGCAAGCGTTCAAACTCTGTTAAGTCAGGTAAGCTGTCACATGATCTCCCAAACATGAAGCTGCATAATATTCTATTTCTGGATATTTGGAAAGATGATGTCTTGGACAAAATGAGTCACTTTGTATCCAAAGTCCAGGCCAGTTCTGAATGTTGTCGCTTTCCTTGTGTTATCTCAGTGATAGTAGAGTCAAAAGCCTTAACAAAGCAGCAACAGGTTTAAAAACAACGTGGCTGTACAAAGCTTCTGTCACTCATTTTTAAAGCGTTGCTGACATTTAGCACTCGGGCACATTTCTTCCATTACATCCTCTTTATTGATCAAACTGAAGGTAAACATTCCTTAGATATGTGTATGTATCTGGGTGGCTTAGCGTCTAATTCTAAAACCAGCTACTCCCATTTATTTTGTCCAGCTGAAACAATTATTTAGTCCTTAAAAGGGCTTGGAACAACTTGCCCCCCAAAATACAGGAGCATGATGCATGCCACATGAAAGGGCAATCAGTTCTTCCTCTAATAATTTTTAGTTACACAATTCTTGCTACGTAATTATTTAGTAAGTAAATAATCAAGTAATTATTTACTTATTAAATAATTACATAATCACCCTGCATTCAAACCAGTAGTCATATTTACAGTTAACACAGTATCTGATCCACTATTGTCTAATATTGAGCTTGTGACCGCAATGTTTTGTCTGCTTTTTTCTTTTAAAATCTTTTAATATAACTACTATAAAACTTCCTTTGAAATTTGCAGCAACTTAAAAGTGGGAACAGTATTTTAGAATTCAATTTTAAAATCAGTTGTTAGGGTTAGGAGGTATAGCCACTAAACGACTGATTTATATTATGTCTTTAGAAATTTAATAATAATAATAATAATAATAATACCACCCCACCCATCTGGCTGGGTTTCCCCAGCCACTCTGGGCGGCTCCCAACAGAATTAATGATAATAATATAAAAGCGATGAAACATCAGACATTAAAAACTTCCCTAAACACGGAAGGCAGAATTTCATCAGGTTTGGCTCTCTCCCCATCCCCAATGGGCTATACAAGTTCTCTAGGCAACCCTAGTTGAATTATAGTCAGAAAAATTGAAAACTTTGTCATTTGGAATATTATGCAAAAAGTTCCTACATTTACTGCTAGAAAAGTGTTATCGTATCAGATTTAAATATTGCGGTGGCTGATAATGAAACAATGTTTGCATTTAGGATCTTTTAGTTCTTAACTGCTAATTTTAAACAAACTGGTGGTACTTCCGGGTTGGCGCCATCGCCGAATGGCGGACTCCCTCCGAGCTCCGGAGGGAGTCTGCTCGGCAGGGGCTGGGTCCTACCGCGCCGGCGACGCGGGGACCCTCAAAAACCACGGGCACGGAGCCCGTGGACATGGGGACTCGGCTGGTACCGTCAGCGCCCTCCCGACTCGTGAAGGAGCCTTTTTAAAGGCTACGGATCGGGTGCCAGGGAGTGGCGTGGTACTGTGAGTCTATCGCTTCCCCTGCCGAGCGCAGCCGCATGCCATTCGTCGGAGAGCGCTGGCTTCTTCCAATTGAAATTCGGACATTTAACAACAACCCGTGAGTAATTGGGTAACCGGGTACAAAAGGAGAAAAAAAGGAATTTTTTTCGGATTCGGTACGAGCGGGGGGGATCTAAAAAGGAAGTCAGTCCCC